GTCACGTGAAGCAACGCCACCACGGCGGAATTATCGATTGCTTGGTGCGAGTAGGGACTCGGGAGCAGTGCGGCTACCCATAGAACAGTTGTGACGTCATCTTGGTGCGGCCGAAACACCGAGGTACGCTGCCGTGCTTCGGAAAAACGACGTATGAACCTTCAGGCGTTGCCAAATTTCCTCTGATGAAATACGAATTTATTGGGGGAAATTTTAAATATTTTTCTTCCAATTTTTCAGACTATTTTGTTCGCAATTCAATCTGAAATATCTGAAAACTTCAAGGAAAAACGGGCGTGAATTTCGTCAAAAATACATGTTTTATTCGGGGAGATTTGACAACTCTCAAATGTTCATACGGCGTTCTTCCTTAGCACGGCAGAACGCGTCTGAGGCAGAGATGAAGAATGACCCTCCGCGGAATTGAATTGCTGTTCGCTTAGACGGTTTCGTTAGAACATTTTACAAGATTTTTAGGGGTTGAGTATGCAACCCGTAATACACACACACGACACACCCACACTCTCATACACCCTCTCACACACTCAAAAAAAAAAAATACGGCCAGAAAATTTGAAGATTTTTTCCCTTTCTCCTTCCTTCTTCTTCGAAATTTCGAAATTGAGACAACTGTTTCTCGGCGTTTTTGGCCTTCTGGTCTTCGTGAGTTGTCACGAAGAGGAGTTTTATGATATTTCGTCCCTCCTTACTTGATAAAAGTGGATTGTTTCCAGGGTTTTTGGAATTGGCACTAATATTCACATTATTGGGTCTCTCGTGGGTTGCCTGTAGTTAGTCCATTACCTACCCCCTATCCTTTTTATCTTCTTTGTCTATAGCTTTGTCTATAATTGTCAATAATCGGCCTGCTGAGGAAGTTTATTTTATCACGAGCCAACCCATTCCCTAAAATATTAAAAAGGATTATTTTGGTAAATCAAGCCTGGTGAAAAGAGGAAGTATTGAACACTTCTGTGATCGTGAGAGATATATGAACAAAGCGTTTAAAAATAATACTAAAGTCCTAAAGCACGCTTACGTGATTGAGCTGAAAACTTCGGTCATTTAAAAAAAAAAAAAAAATTGTAAAGTTCATTTTAAAACAGGGTTTGTTTGAAAATACCAACATTTCGTAATTTAAAAAATGTCACTGATCTATTCCACTCAACGGTGGCTTCGATCGAATACATATCAAGATTTAAAGGAATATACTAAAAATTAACCTGTTCCGTTCACCGAGAGCTCCAATCAAATACATAAAACGATCTGAAGAGTTACATTAAAAATACCGTGAGATGCCATCGAGCCGTGCGAACATCCGTTCCTTGAAATCGAGACATAGGCAACTATTCCACCACGTCGGAATGCGGGTTGCGTTCCCATCTCGTTGAAGGCAATTTTTACGCCCAACTGACTAGATACTCATCGCGGAGGACGGTGCGGAAGTCGAGCAGCCTGTCGACACATCACTATTTATGGGGGAGGGCGCTAATTTTATTATTACCAAGGGAAGAGGAGGTAGAAAGGCTTCTCTTCAGGATAAATGGACTGAGTTAAGCAGAAAGGAACCAACCCACATTTTGGAAAAAATTGAGTTATGAGTGGTTTTGAACTCAACCTCTGCTCTACTATCTATCGCCAAAAATTCAAAGTTTTTGTTGGAGCAACTTTTGCAGAAATTGAACTTGAAGTTAAACTTTTACATTGAGTCTTATGTAGGAGCTAAACTTTAAGCCTCTTTTTCTTGGTTCGATTCCGATGTGGCTTGGTTCCTTTCTGTTTAACTCCGTCCAAATCTAGGTAGAAGGTCAAGACTTCAACCGAAATCCGGAAAGGAAAAGAGACACAAATCAATGAACCGGGAGACAAGGTACGAATTTAAGAATTTCTGATACATGTTCCTTTTCTCAACCAAAATTTCACGTAGAAGACGATTCGCACAACGGAAATCTACTGAAATCAACTCCCAAACTATTAACGGTTATATTTTACATTTTTGAATTCCTCGCACACGAGAAAAACTAGAGTCTACTAGAACCAAATCGCGCATTAAAACGGTTTTGGTGGTCTCTCAATTAACGTCCCTCCCCGCCTTGTGCTGTTCAAATTGTTAACAACGACCAACAGCTGAGCCGAAGTACAATAATTGAAGTTGCCATATATTTACACCGCGGAGACTGCCGCGGTAACGTTTGAGGCGCGATTTGACTCACGTAGACTTTGCTTTTTCCATGATGAGCTGTTTAAAATGTACGTGTCAAGAGACATTAAATATCTTAGTTAATGATTAGTTTCAGTAATTTTCGTTTCGCGAATCTATTCTGCGTAGAACTATGGTAAGAACATGGTGTCTAGAATTCTCGACCATGCTCATTCCCTAATTTTCAGGAGCTCATTCCCTGATGAAAACCCAAGTTTTTTCCTACTTTCGCAGGATTTCCCTGGGAAAAACTATACATGATCCTCCGGAGTTCCAGAAATGAAAATCAATTTTTTTTTTTTATCTTTCAGCCAATTAGCAATAATATTTCGAGCAATTTCGACATTTTAATTCCAAAAGAGTTCAGGTTTTCGTTCAGGTTCAGGAGCTCATTCTCTGATGAAAACCCAAGTTTTTTCCTACTTTCGCGGGATTTCCCTGGGAAAAACTATACATGATCCTCCGGAGTTCCAGAAATGAAAATCAATTTTTTTTTTTCATCTTTCAGCCAGTTAACAATATTATTTCGAGCAATTTCGACATTTTAATTCCAAAAGAGTTCAGGTTACTGAACTACTGAACTACAACTACTGAATTTATTAATTTTTATCATTATAATAAAATAAAAGTCAGAGTTTTTATATTTATCTCTTTATTTTTATTTATTTTTATTATTAATATTTTAGGTTTGGTTCCTTATATTTTCTCTTGTTCTGCACATTTTGTGTTTTCTGTTAGTTTTGGATTTCCTTTTTGGTTGGGTTTTTTAATTTTGGGTTGATTTAACTTTAATAATAAATGTTTTTCTCATTTAGTTCCTTTGGGTACTCCTCAAATCTTAATCTCTTTTATAGTATTAATCGAGACTGTGAGAAGGCTAATTCGGCCCTGGTCACTGAGAATTCGGTTAATGTCTAATATAATTTCAGGACATTTATTAATAGTTCTCTTAGGAAACTGTGGGTTTTATGTGTTTCTGGTTCAGTTAATTTAATATAGAATACAGAAAATAAAAATACAGAATTTTTAGAATTTCAACATTTAAAAATACGAGAAGCAATAAAAGAGGGAGAAGACAAGAGGAGTTGGTAGATTTGGGCGTATTTCTATCAAACGGAACTAAGCGCCAATTTGAGTTCCTTTTGAGGAATTTAGAATCCCGGATAGCGCGTTCTGTCAAACGGACCTAAGCGCCATGGAAAGGCATTGCGAGTATAGGACGGAATAAGCCGGACGCCCGATTCCGCCGCCAATCCAAGCCCCCCTCTACCTTCCTCACCCTATGGCGCTTAGGTCCGTTTGATAGAAATACGTCCATTTGATGAGTTATTTGCCCCAAAATATTGAAAACTCGTGAGCTGTTCGCCAAAAATTCACAAAATTTTGTAAACTTCCAAAATTTAACTGTCTGCTTAGGCATTTTACAAAATGCCTATGATTTCACTATTTGCCTGCGGCATCTGCATTGTCTGCGGGTCCATTCCCGCCTTCATACGAAAGTTTTCCTTGTGCCGAGATTGACATCCCGTGACGTCAGCCTGCGCAGGGGGCACCCTCGTCCGCACGCACCACGTATCGACCCGGAGGGCGGGAGCTGGCACAGTTTCCCCGCGCTCGAATCGGGCAGTTTTCAGGTCAACGCTCAGGCCTCGACGCGTCTCCCAGCACCCTCCCGATTTTCCCGCGAATTTTTGCACGCGCCCCGACGCACGAGCCGAAATTTCGCGTCCGGTCCGCGCGCAAATGCCCCGAATTCGCACGCGGATTCCCCACTCGAACTCAGTCGCCCTTCGCGTAGGCCGCGCTCCAAGAATCAGGACATTAATTTGACTCGGGAGTGGTTAAATTGATCGGTAAAATTGAGTAATTTTAACTGAAAAAAAATATGTATCCTCTATTGTGAAAAATTGTATTTTAAATCGCACACGTAGTAGGAAAACATTCACCCCAAGCTTCGGTTGTGCCAGTGGTAAAGTGGTAGTTTCGTGCGCGCCTTCAAAATCACACGATACCAACTCAAAGCAGAGGAGTCGGACAAGTGGCATTGGCGGGTTTGAATCGCGAATCCCTCTCGAATCGCCTTCATAATTTTATGGTGCTGTGCCGAAACGCCTTTTCAATAAGAGTTGTCACTGACGGGATACAGTTCTCGTTACGTTGGACAAAATTCAGCGCGCCTTCGAGTTAAATGATACCACACCAAAGCACAGGAGTTTGGCAGGTGGTATCTAAGGCCTCACGACGGGAATCCGTATCGAATTTAATCATCTCGCTGCTTGGATTGCATCGTTATAATTAGAGCAAGGTGCTACGCTCGTATCCCGTGTTTCGAAGTCAGATGAGCTGACTGTAAGTGCGCCTTCAAAACTGTATGATACCGAATCGAGTCAGCGGCGTGTAACAAGTGGTATCTGGGGGTTTTCAACTGGCTAATTAACTCCCTCTACAGCCCGGACAGAGCTGGATTGTGCTGGTTTCATTCGAGGGAAGCGATAAGCTGGTAACTCGTGTTGTGAAAGACAGTCTGACCAAGAGAGGTTTCGCAAAGATGGAGGAGAACCCGCGGAAAAGCTTCTCTCCGATCCGCGACGCGCCGAGCTGCGTGATGCTGGCCGGCGAGGAGGCCAAAGACAAGTTGTACGAGCCGAAGAACAAGAAGAAGCTCGTGCGCGTCTTGACCGTGATCGCATACATGTTCTCGGTCTCGCTGGCTGCCATCATGCTGTCCCTGTACTACATGTTCCTGTGGTCGCCGCGAAACGAGACCGCAGCCTCCCAGGTCGTGTACCCGCCGTGTCAGATCCCAGGTACGGCTCCGGCACAGCTCCTCGCATTTCAGGGTGTAACAGTTATGAAAAACCGAAATTGGGGACTTTCGGGGACTTTAAGGGTGTTTTTTCAAGAGTATCGGGGATTTTTTGCCCGAAATAGTAAGAGAAAGAGGGCTACATAGAGCGTTAAAAGGCGTATTTGATACGACTAGGTAATTTTACAAGTCATGTTGAACCGATGAAAACATACGAAAAACCGAGCAACGCTTCAGTTTTTTTATTCTTGGTTATACCGCGCCGCCGAAAATTTGAAAATGCCGGTGTTTAGGACGATTTGTGTCATTTTTTGGGGACCTGAACAAGAAAATTGGGGACTTCCGGGGATATCGGGGACATCCTTCCAAAATCGGGGGTAATCGGGGACATTGGGGACTTTTGGGGACCGGTAGATACCCTGGATTAGAAGGCAGATCAGTGAAATTTTCGATTAGAAATTCCCAAGATTCTCCTGGTAAAAATGTATTTTGCAGGGACAAATTTGGCAACATTGGAATGTAGTTACTTTCGTTCCTGAGGGAAACGACGATCTATTCCCGTTCTCTATAATTGGTTGTATGGTGTTATGTTGGTGCAATAAGATGTATGATTGAATGGGGCTAATAACTAGGTTAAAAATTCACTGATGACAAAATTCCTTTGTTGCAGATCCAATTGTGATGGAACGTTTGAGCAAGCAAATAAAACAACAGCAGGGACCGGTGGTCATTACCGCTGAAGCCAGGCCAACAACCTCTCCAATCGAGAAACAAAGTACGAAGAAAATAAACAGCTCCAACCACCACAAGCACCAGAAAAACAAGCTGCCAGAACACACTGATGATGAGTTCGAAATGGCAAAAATCGAATCTTCCTACTCTGATATCAAACACGATCATCAATCAACTAACGACTGATCCGGACTGCCTGGTTCTAGACATTGAACAAACTTGTTTAGCAAGCAGATTCATTTTGATGGCCACAAAACGAAACCTCGTATCTTCATTGCTATGTGTCAAAATTTCCGCTCCTATCAAATTTTTCCGAAGAGAACCTGACCAACTTCAAAGCTTGAAATTAATGCAGAATATTGAAGAAAAATCAAGAAAGTTTTCATAAACTTACCTTTCATAAACCAATTTTCCAAAGAAAAAATTAAGTATGACAAGAAGTCTCCAACGTCGCAAACGGAGATACGCAGTTTTGCACTTTGGCCATCAATTTGTAATACATTGTTTTTGTTGTTTCCTTTTTTTACTGATCCCTTAAAAAGTTTTATGTGAGCAAGAGGATATGAGGAACGCATGCTTTGTTATGGACGGGTGAATCAGGGGTGCAGAATTTTCTTGATCACGCTGCGGTAAGAAAAAAGGGGAAGCCTGTGAAAATTGAGAGGCCTTGCTCGTAAGCGCCTTAGAATCGCGTGTTTCTTAGAAAATCGTACTGAAATTCGGGTGTTTTTTTGAAGAATCACAGTGAAATTTGCAAGTTATTGGCAAAATCTCTGGAATTTGTGAATAAAGAACAGTAAATAAGTCGTAGCTTTGAAAATTTTGGGGGAAAAGGGTTTAATTCAAATGGACTAGATTTTGCAATTAAGGACTACTTGCAGTTTCTGGTTCATCTTTTAAAATCTACTTTCTTCATAGGGAGCCAATGGCTTAATCAATGTTTCAAAAATGATCCAGCAACGGTAACTCCTCATTGGAAAATATAGTCCAAAAGGGAAGGCCAGTTTAAAAAATGGGAAAATGGGAGAATGGGAATAACTTTCTGCACCCCTGTGGTGATTGGTCGAATTTAGCATTAGATTGTCTGAATCAGCAGTCGTGATGTTTCTAAATCCAATAAAGTAGGATCTTTATGTAACAGAAAAGAACCAAGATGTATTTTACATTTATAACTACTTCTATGGTGCACTAAGAAGACTCATCTAATTGGTTACTCTCAAAAGGGACACAATTATGTACGAGCAAAACCATCAATCCTGCATGAACTAGATAATGATGTTTAAAATTTTGTACATACCTATATTTTTGCACTTCCGTAAAATACAACACACTTATCTGAAATTTTTGACGATAATTTTTGATAGTGTGAAATTAAGTGCAGAGAACACAGTGAGAGTGATTGAGAAATAGAGGCTTTGGTAGTGCTAATTACATTGTTCAATTCGTTCAAGAGACCAGATTAGACGCTTGTAAAAATTAAAGCAAATCAGCAGCTCCGATATCTTGGTAAAGATAAACGCAGAGGCAGATACATTTCTGCTTTAGCCTTACATCAGACCTTTTACAACCCACACAAAATTAATTTTAAAAAAGGTTTGACACACTACTTTTGCAAGAAATTATAGCAACCAAAATGCACCAAAATACAAGGGTTTTTCTGGCTACGAAGACCTACATTTTTTGTTCACTCAGAGACGTCAAAATTACTGACCATATCCTCAATGTTTAATTCCATAAATTCTTCAATTTCTGTTTTTGTAGGAAAGAATTTTTGAATTTTCTGTAAAATTTTATGTTGATTTTAATGCTACATTCACTGGAGGTAAAACATTGTTATGACGCTACTACTGTCATTACTCCTCATGAAGTAATTCGATTATGCATCACAGATGGACGGATTGCTTTCGGTTAAGTTTGATTTTTAATAATACAAAACAATTTTAAAGAATTCAGTTTGGTATTTTTATTTACTCATTTTTATACAAACATTATAATACAGTATATACAGAATTTTTTTTTTTTTCTTCTATTTTTTTTTAAAAAAAGGGGGGAGAGATAGAAAAGTATGAAAGTAAATTCAGGTACGGACTGGACTGTACTATTCAATAGGTTATTATAGCATAGATTGTTTTCCTTTTTTTCAATTTTTATCTGACACCATTCAATTTTGCACCTAGTTACCTAATACAAGATTTAGGAGACTAAATCACATAATACATAGTAACCATTTAGGAATCGACTTAAAAACATTACTCACTAAGCAGCGGCACAAACTCCCATGCTTTTAGTCTGTCAAATTTGAGTATCAGCTTTACAAAATTTAGAAACCAGATTGAATTGCGATTTTAATGACTCGTCATTTTTATTTGCAAAGTCACTAAAGCTGTGCAACCTTTTGAACTCCATGTAACAAAGAACTTGAAATACCACTTTTCTTGATATTGCCTTTTTGTTTGATAACAAATAAAATGAGAATGATTTCTTAAGCAGATGAATAAATTGCAAAATCTCCGCAGCATTAAAGAGGAATTTTTTTTTTTTTTTTTTTTTTTTTTTTTTTTTTTTTTTTTTTAATTAAATATTCCATTTCATTAACATCGATCAAATTTTCTTGCTGACTTTAAAAAAAGTGGGAAAAACAGTCAGTGTTCATTTCATTTACACGAAGCTGGCTTCTCCATGATGAGTAATTAAAAAAATTAAACATTTTTACAAAAGTTGTCTCAGGGATAAAAACGCAAACAAATTTTATCACTGGGTTAGCAGTCACCGGTTTCTTTCCCGCTTGTGAAAATTGTGCTAAATCCCCTTTAATTCGCATCTTCAGTTTTGATAAGGTGCTCTTGAGATTGTCAACACAAAATAATGATTTTGCTCTGTTGGGTGTTAAGAAGGAACAATTAGAGGTAATAGAGAATCTTACTAGTAAATCATTTGCTGATCGGACGATGGTTTGAGATAATGTTCGAAGCCGACTTGAAGTAGAAATCTGAAATTTGCATTCTCGACTAGCTCACTGAGTTCTTCCGCCTGCAGGATTGTTTCAAGTGGAGGCAAAAATTCGTCAGCATCCACATCTGTAGGATAGAAATGTTACTTAAAAATAAATTGAACACCACTGGGCAGGGGAAACCTATTGATGAACAAATTATAGAATGACATATGTCATTCATTTTGGTGCATTATTTGAGCAGCATTTAGTAGTAAAGATTATTTTACATTTAGTTCCTTAGCATAAATTGAAATTCACTCTTAATCAGTTGCAAAAGAACTGATTGCTCGCTTTGTTCCCTTTTCTGATTTAATTTTGCTATTCTCTCAATAAACAGCAAAGGAGCAATTGACAAAAAACACTAAATAAGAAATCAGAATGTCACCAATTCAAATTTTCTTACTAATAAATATGAAAGAATTCCCTGTAAGTAATTTTAATTGAAATAATAACACTAAAAATGTTCGGAATGAAAATAAATTATCTGTTGCAGCTTTCAACTAGCAGATCCCCCAAAGAAAGGAAGAAAAAAAAATAGGAGCATTTCAGAATAGAGATATCAGGAAGATACCTTTCCTAAACAAAGATCCACTGCTCCAACCATCCTCCCTCCTACCTCAAAATAATTTTAAGAATTGACTGCTCTCGATACCCAATTTAAAGCCACTTGATCATTTCACTTTGCACAATTTTCGTGGCGATACATGACGCTTTTGGCTCAAAGACTTGGGTTCAGAAAAGTCCGAAGGACAACATTTTTCACCTATATACATCTACTAAAAACAAACAAAACTTGGCCTTGTTTTCCCTGCAGTATAATGTGGACCCAGCACTATTTTACCACCTTGTTACTGCAGACTATGTCAACTTGGTTTAAGTTAACTGAAAATACCATCATATTTTGCAAAAAATTAATCAACATTACAAACCTTCCTTTTTGTAGAATAAAAAAAAAAAAAAAAAAAAAAAAAAAAACCTTCCTTTGAGGGTTGAGATGAGAAAAACCTCAAAGTTTGTGAAAATTACAGTTGCAGAGGCAAAATGAATGAGTAACAGAGTCCGAAATTGGAAACCTGTCATTTATTTGACAACTGTAAAAGTTTTATTTTATTGACGATGCAAAAAAGCTATCAGTCAGAGGCGCCATTCCATGTTTTTGCAGAGCCGGCCAAGAGGTGACGCGTTTTTTTTTTTTTTTTTTTTTTTTTTTTACGTAATTTTTTTTTTTAAATTTATCTTCCTTTTTGTGGAATATAGCAACAATATGGACTCGGACAAAATAATCAATTAGGTCGTTCAGATAGTTGATTAAATATTTCTTTTTCCACTACTAGAAGCAAAAGAGAAGCAAGCCAAACTCCTTCTGATGAATTTCCAGTCTTTTTTTTCCTCTCTCATAGTGTGGAGAGATTTTCCCTGGTCCGACTCCAAAACACAGTACCTGGTATCTGCTCCTTCTGCCACCCTCCAAATGGTTCCCTGCTATTAGTCCACCTTAAAAACGACATTTAGGAGTTGAAATGTGACTTACCTAGACTGAGCAAAAGATCAATAGTTTTGAAAACAGTGTAGTTTCTAATGAGAGTAATTATGTCAGGAGGAAGTTCTTGACTAGGAACAGGCCAGACATCTCTCAAAATGGCCTTTACCCATATTTCCAGTCTGAAATCATCCAGAAACATATCACCATATCATGCAATGCACAAAACATTCAGTAATTTATTATTCCATGAACACTTAAAATTTGTCCTCTTCTTCTACCTTCCGACTAAGGACGTCCTTGGACCACATTTTCCTGCACATCTTGGTCCAAATCACTATCTCTCGGACTTGGCATACATCGCAAATGGAGTTGTTGGTCTCCATTTTCCATCTCAGGTTTGAAGATATGATTTTGTTTGTCTTCAAAAAATAATATTGCTTTTATTATCACTCGGTGACCCTCAATTGTCGAGAATAGGCTGTTGAAGGCAATGAAAATTAAACGCTGTGAGACTTGTTTTTGCATTATTATTTCAATATTGAAAAGTTCAAAATCAATTTATAAGTGAGAGCCACCCATTTTTTGTTCACATTAAAATCAATTATTTCAGACTTCGTGCTCATGGAAAAAAACCAAAATCAACGGAGTCACACTGACCATCGATAACACTTTTCATCCTCTTTTTTCATCATTGACTGAAGTTGCATAGAAAAAATCTATTTCCTTCTATAATAAGCAATACTTGTGAACTTCCTAAGAAAAAGTCAGCGCTCAATAACCCATTCAATTTATAAGCACATTGAAATTAATTTAGTTTCCAACGTGAATCAAGAAGCCTTTTGTATTTTGATGAGCTCGGATTGATTCACAAAACTTTTTTCTTGGTATTGTTAGTCAGATTTTCTGTGGTTTGCTCCTCCCCTCTCCCTTGAAGAAAATGCGGAACAAATTTTTACCAGGGGAAAAATATTTTAGCATGATTTTCTTTTCATCAAAAAACATGAGGAATAACTTACTTCAAATGATCTCGTTCATCTTTCTCGACATACTTCAGCAGGTCCAAACTATTCTTGAAATCCCATTCATTAGCTGCTGAATTTTCTTCACAGATGAAAAACTTTAAAAACACATAAAACAAAATTAAAAATGGGTTTATTTTAATAAATAAGTAAAATGAAAACTTTATTGTTGTCAGGTATCATAGAGTTAAATTTTTCAGCTCACATCCATACAGAGGACGATACGTCAAAAAAAGAACAAAAGGGCACTTCCTTCAAAAGATACACAAAAAAAAAAGGTGCGCCCTCTATGAATATTCCAACTTTACAGAATGCTGCATGCCTAAAATTCAAGCCTTTGGTACGTACAATTGAAAGACGATTGGTCTGAAAGTTTATTGGGTTCTGCTTCTTGCAAAACTCTATGCACGATTCTCAAAAATGTTTTGTCTCTTCAGAGATGAAAGAGAGCCACAATGACAGATTAAACGTTTTAAAAGATAAAGCATCTTCTCGTACACTACGGGTGAATTATATAGCTTCCTTTTTTAGTAAAAGACTGCGCCTACTAAAAAATTCGGCTTGGGCTGAACTTCCACGTTCTTTGATAAGATGTTCCTTACGACATCCTTGGCACATTGAGCCCTTAAAATTTAATTTTCTATGCAGCAATCTCGAGAAAAGTTGTACTAAAAAGTAAATTTTTTGGTCTTTGCACATGTATTTACCAATGGAAATGTGGGACTGTTGCTATGTGTGCATGGACATTTTTGCCGTACGTTGTTCGGAGGAATTTGATTATTTCCATCTGTGTTATCTTCCCAACCAGCGAGGAAACAAAGGATCCTCTCAATCACTAATAAGATGTTGCAACATTTGTTCTAGACATTGAGTGTAGAAATGCCAAAAATTTCACTTTTCAGTCCTGCTTTTTCCGAGCTTGGCACTTGAAACTTTCAATTTTAAAAGCTCACCACAGGAACATCATAACAAAAAATATCGAAATTTCGTTGGAGCCGAGTTTCTTGAGGTTGCATACATAGTCCATTGAGTTAAAAAATATCATTAGAATTGTAAAATTGAAAACAGATTTTTGAGTCAACCTCATCGTCCTTTACTCATCGTAATTACTTTAGTATGTAATGGGACTTTGATGGCCCCATAAAGTTACTCTTACCACACAAATGGTTTCTTAAATTTTGGGGTGAAGTTAGGACACCATCCTTTACAAAAAGTCACAATATATCAAATTAATAATAAAAGAAAGGAAGCAAGTGCTCACTATCATACTTTTTAGGAATGAAGTTTTCAGGTATGAAAATGAAATGGAATTCTACAGTATAAAAAAAAATTATGAAAATTTAATTTGGATGGGGAGACACCATTAAAAAAAATTGCCACCAATGGTTTAAAATGAATAAAACAAGTGTGGAAAGTTATTTTTTTTTACCTTAATCAGTTCTACTGGAGTAAACACACGAATTGTGGCTGGATCATAGCCATAAGCATTTAAAACAGGTAATGGTAAATTTTCCTGATATGAGATCAGTTCTAGGTCATCCAATATTTGTTTCATGTGTCGGGATTCTTCACCTTCTATTATCAGCAAGATTAATTTAGTTAGAGACAGGAGGGTCTGCAACAAAATACATATTGATTTTATGATCATAACTGATGCCAAACTTTTTAAAAGAACAATATCATTCCACGAATGACATAAATAATAGTACGTATCATGCAAAGGTACAAAAAATTCTGAGCCTTCCTCAAAATTAACACAAAAAACTGGATTAAATTCACTGCTAAATTCGTAATATTTCATAAAATTACAGCCTTGTTTACCCATGCTTTGGGTTTTTACTCCACCGTGTCCTTACTTAGAGATTAGCCCTGCCAGGCGTGGGGAAATTTACCTCCTGCCTTGGAATTACGGCACTAGTATTTGTGCTAAGTGTAGGGTCACAGGCGCATGAGTACTGTAATTGAAAGCGCTTAATGACAATTAATTCTTAAAAAAATTATTAAATGTAAAATAAAATGAACGCTGCGCTAAATCTGAAAGAACACCTAAATTGATTAAGTTCATTGAACTCCGAAAGTAACCCCTCACCAAAAATCTGTTTTGTAAAATGCTTCCTGAGCCACTCACCTTCTTTCTTGCGAGGAGATCTGTTTCTGACTTTGCCAGGTCCATCAAGGTATTAAAAGCCAATTTTAAATCTTTCCCGAAAACAGCTTGAATCCACGAGATAGTCGGATGGTCCCCTAGACACTGTCCCAGTAACCGCAGGTTCTTTGAGCCTTCCCTGCAATACTGTAATAATCTTGCCTGCTTGTTTTCACGTATATACCACGCTATTAAAAATTTCGAGAAACCCTCATCTGCGTATTGCTCAATGTAATGATCTAGCTTTGTTGTATTGCAAGTAATGTCACACAGCTGAATCAACATAGAGAAATCGCTGTACTTTTCTGCCAATATTGTAGCCCTTTCGTAGTCTTTATCAGCGAAAAAAGGCTGAATGAGGGTATAGCGTGTATTTTCGTACTCCTGCAACAAGGCCTGTTGCTTTGGTGATTTGTTATTCAGAGTGTCAACGTGGTTCTTGTACCCGATCAAAATTACATCAGCAAGCTCCACAAGCTGATCTGATAGCTGGCAGCTCATGTTAGACTTCTTGCACATTCTTACGCCATGTTTCAACGTGAGGTTGTACTGCGCGAGCAGCATATCACGGAGGCCTACGTCACCTTTTGCAGCTGTCCAAGGAACGTATTCTTTGAATGTTGTGAAAGCTGCATGGCCTGGTTTAAAATTTTCTGCCTTGGTTGACCTCAGCTTGAAGACATCGTTCAAGACTTCGAGGAGCAGTGAGTTGGCAGCAACTATGTCTGCGGCAATTTGTTGTGGCGTTTTGTCGGAATGGACAGCTTCTTCTGTCCACGACTGGACTTGCTGTAATGCCTCATGAATGATGCTAACACAACGGAAAAACAGGTCTTGTTGGGTCAGACCACCACTGGGCTTAAAGCCATGATTATCGTTGACTTTCTGTATTATCCACTCAATGATCTCCAGATGTTGGGTTTGTTGCTGGTAAAAAGATATTGACGCTTGGATCTTTTCTGCTTGTTCTGCAAGAACATATGTTGTTGCCATAATAACGCCATTCCAAGTTTTACCTCCCAAACGATTCCACAGTTCCGTATCTTTGACGAACGAGAGATACCAGTCCAGCACCCTTTGTTTCTCCTCAAGTTGATTGCGAATCTGTAAAGACTGTACTCTGTTCAACTTGTAAACACTCGATGACTTGGAGGTGTCTGCCCATCTTGGATCACGTGATGGAATATCATCCAATAGATCAAACCCAATTTTTGTTAGAACTGAGTCTAGATTTGCATCAATCAACAGCGCAGCGTCTACCTCGACAGGGAAAGTCTCTTGAATAAGTTGTTCACACTGAGACATGTTCTTCTGAATATAGGCCAAAAACGCAGCTTGCATCCTGGAGTATGCACTGGCTTCGTTTGTCTGCGCTGCACTGATTGGCTCAAACACTTCTGGACTGTTGGCTGCAACAGCACTCAATGCACTGCTATTGAGAATATCAGATGCGCTGAAGTCCGTTCCTGTGACTGAGACAAGTCCGTAATGTTTTGAAAAGAAAACAGGTACGTGATTGACGATGAACCCACCCAAAAGATCCACTTCTTCGCTTACGTTGGGGAGCTCTATGATATCGTTTTCGCTTTGGTTTGGGCCAAGGACAATTGCAACGATAACTTGATGATTGTAGACATAAGCTGTTAGGTCATGAACGAGCATTTTAAGGGGCTGTTCTTCGTGTTCGGTGTGTGGAGCACTCAGCTGCTGGAGGTTGAAAATATGTTGCACTTGAGCACGAGATGGGGGCGAGTCTTCATCTGTGTCCACCGATACTGAAAAATATTCAGAAATTTCATGAAAATTCATCATAGTGTGAGTTTCTCTATACCAGGAATGCCACAAAATTTGGAAAATAAAATTCTCTGACAATTTCCCATACAAATTGAACATACCTTATGGCAAAAAAGACATACTTTGAAATAGTTTTTAGGCGAAATTTTTTATCTTGAACGTCCAACTCATTCTAAAAAGCTAATGAAGGTAAATTTACAATATTTCCCTGACGCTTTCGTCATTTTCCCTGACAATTCCAGAATTTCCCTGACATCTCAAAATTCCCTGACATTTCACGGTTTTCCCTGATCAAGGCAACCCAGTTATACTCAGCTTTGAAGAGGAAATCAGCTATCATAAGACTCCATTAAGTCTTATTGAATGCTTAGAATGATAAAAAAAGAAAACACTTCCTGGTTCCTAATAACAAGAGTAAAATCTAAACATATTAAAAAAATAAACTCAAAATACTGCATCGACCCAACTAGAAAAGGATGAGTATGAATCTAGGTCAATAAAAAATTCTGAAGTGGTGTCCTGGTCATACTTTAAGTAATATTTTTGCTAAAACTGACCAGTCATTTTCTGCTTGCTAACTAAGGTCCCTATCAAACGAATTAGAGCAGTTACAATCGTAAATTAAGACTATCAGTGCCTAAATCGAAATGTATCAGTCACAGTTCATTTCTTAATTGATGATTGGTTCTATCACCTACGCTTGAAACGTAACGAGGGGTCATGCATTAATCTTCTCGATAAAAAAGAATCCACATGAATTGGTACTGCATAATACTTTGAGAAACATAATGGCAAATTGCCATCAGAAAAGGGCTCACAATCTCTAAAACTTCAAGTCTCTCCCTCTGATGTTGCTTTAAGTCATGAAAAAATCTTGAACAAAAGGAGAACAGGGAGCTAACTGAGGAATGAGTGTGCTGAATGGCCAAAATAGCTCATCGGAGACCTAAACTTTGATTAGGTTATTGTTTAAGACAATGGACCACTAGACAAGTTACGAATTTAAGCATTCTGATACATGATTGTTTACCAGAATTTCACGTAGAACACGATTCGCGCAACGAAAATTACTAAAACCATCTCCTAACAGAGATATTAACATTTTTATTTCACATTGGTCACATGGAATTTGAACTGCCCGCTCACAAGAAACTCAAAGCTCTACATGAGTCAAAACGCGCACTACAACGGTTTCAGCAAGCTTCTCAATCGAGCAATGTTCATTTCCAACCATGTGTTTTTCAAACTATAAGTAATTTGCTATAGCTGAGCCAAAGTGTCAAGATTGAGGTTGCCAGATTTTTTTATCGTAGAGACGTTCATGATAATGTTTAGGGCGCAAAGTGAATCACGTAGAGCATTGAGTTTTCATGAGCGGGCGGTTTCAATTCACGCACCAAGAATCATTAAATATCTTCGGAAGGAGTTGATTTGGGTAATTTTCGTTGTGCGCATTTTACGTGAAATTTTGATGAAGACACATGTATCAGATTGCTGAAATTCGTACCTTGTCTAGTGGTCTATTGCCATGAGCTTAAAATACCTGTCAGATATTTTCTGCGTTTTCAAAATTCGCTTATAAAAATACGGGTTTGTTTTTTTTTGAGACTTACTTAGAGCATAGCCAAGTTGAGATGTTTGCAAAACAGCTCCATTGACCAATATCATTACTCCTTTGTCAGTGGGCTGCATGTCATACAAAATGATTTTGTTATCTCCTGCACAGACCTCCTATAACATGAAAAAGAAACAAAAAACACATACACCTAGAAAAAAAGGCATTCTCCAATCAACAGAAAAATTCAAAAACTTATCGACACCTACTATCAGCAATATATAAGTATAAAATGGGCCACACAAAAATAGTATTAGAGACAAAATTTAGGAACATCAAGATTCAGGATGTTGCAGGGCTAAATAGCACCCATCTTCAGCCTAATCAATAAAATTAAGCTAATAAGCCAAAAATAATCTTATATGACACGTACTAGGTTATATGACTGACCCAAGACAGATGATCTAGCATTACAGAGTTGGATCACCTGATTCCAAGAGCCCTAGAAATTCTGCTCATTACGGCTAAACACCTGGTAGCCCTAAAGTACGTTAGTTATACGGTAAAAACAGATGATACATTACTAGTTTGTCAACATCAGCCTTGACATATACGTAAGTACTTCAGGGTTTCCATAAGTCTTTATTTGCTGATTTCCTGAGTTTCCCTTGACTCCATTATTTTCACATTTCTAGACTTTCCCTAGCCTTCGAACAAAACTGGGAACGCTGCCTTCTGCTAAATGCTGCTCATGAAATTTCTCGACTTTTCCAACTTATCATAAATTACCTGACTTTCCTTTACTTTCTAGCTTTTCACGACCGCCAAAAACCATGACATTTACATAAGATTGTGGATTATTGATTTTAAAGCAGATTTCTCTGGTGAATTCAACTGGGTGTCTAGTTGTTTTTCATTTTGGGAAATCCTGATTTTTCCTGATTTTTGACTGCTGAATCCTGATTTCATAATTTTTCCAAATCCTGATTTTTTGCAAAGAAAAATTAAAATTTCTGCATAAGCTTATGTCATATGTGAAAGCAGAGCTCTAAAATTAAGTTCTAAAAATTAAAAACAAGTTTGAATCGATGAAAATGTAAATACTTGCTAATGAACCAGATCGAACCAATCGGACAGCCGACTTTTCTCAAATCCTAATTTTACGGCCGATTTTTCCTCAAATCCTGATTGAGTAAAGAAAAGATAAAAAAACTCACCCATGATGTACGAGACAGGGCTTCTCTTATGGGCTGGATAATATCCACCTCATAATTCAACTTCTCAAGCTCCTCTGAGCACAAGGTCCATTTTTGTAAACAAACACTGGTTAAAACATAGATGTGCCATTTATCAGTCGATAAGTTTGAACTCTTCTTGGTAACAAGCTTCACCAATTTCTGGAAACCAAAATAAAATACATTACTTCCAAGGTAATTCGGGAAAAGTAAGAAATATTTTCACAATGAAATGATTATCTGAGTATGCTGAATTTTTATGGGCAAGTCTCCAAGTTTTGAACATTGAAGAAGAAAGGAGGTTTTGGGAAAAAATTCTGCTCCTTTGCCAAGTGTTCAACTTTGTTTTCAACGACCAATTTCACTAGCTTTGATTTCAGTTTTTGAAAATTTGTATCGACTGATTCTGATGTCAACTATAATTGATACATGGTCACTCATGTAATTATTTTGGAAATTCCATGTGAAAAATAGATAACAATGATTCTTTATTTACGGACTCGTTTAGTCATGCATCATGAGCCTTGATGTATAACACTGATACCTCCATCAATGGCAATCAAGAGTGATGTCGGAATGATCTTGGAATTCTTTTTAACAGTTATTTACGTATCTTTCTTGCTCTTACTTGACCCCTCTGTGTAGCTATCTCTTTCTAAAATGTAATTTTATGCGTTAGAGTGTGATTTGTGTTTTCCTGGATATTTTGATAGGTGTGTAAGTAAAATTGAACAAAAAGTTCTTATTTGCAAAAAATTTGAAAAAATAAACCGCATTTTTCATGACATTCGTTAAAATTTAGCCTCAAAAATGGATCCGTGGAATACAACTATTAGCACCATGAGAAAAAAAAAGCTTGAAGTTTCTCCTCTTAAAAACTTACCACATCTAATGATTGAGAACTCATGGAACCCAAGAAGAGAGATGAAACACGGCGTCCGATTCCACTTAACCAGCCAGATGAACTGCGGAACACTTGACAAGCCAATGAGTGTCGCCCTGCTGTTACATTTGGTTGAATGTGGACTAATGTGGCTGTAGTGGTCACTAATATGAAACCCAGCGGAGGAATATAGTGTAAACTATCACACTCTTGACCCTGTAAATTAAACAAGACTATTTTAGATGTTTAAACAGTGATTTAGTATTAAATTTGTCACTTAAAAAATAGTTATTCAGATAAACCTGCACCAAAAGTAGACGAACACTGAGTTGAGGAAATTTTTCTAAAATACTGATTTCATGGTACTAAAGAGACCAAGACAAGAGGGACGAGCAGCCCGATTCATGAAACTATGTCGGCATGACAAGACAAGACGTAGGCCTATATTAACCATGCAATATATCGCATTTAAATGTCTTATCGGGCTGCTTTAAACTTTCAATAATCAGCCTGCAGTCATAATAAAGCTGAAGATGGGGCGGTCAACTCTGAAAAAATTTTCCTTAAATTTTTAAAAAGTGAGTAAGCTTAGAGTGAATGTAATTGATGACTGGGTGCACCCACTGATTTCAGTTATAATTTTTGCCCCAAAAAAAAGACATACTGCATTCAAAAGAAAATTTCAGCTGGCCTTTCCCGAAATTTTTTTTTTTTGAAATCTGTAAATTTAAGGAACAAAAATAACACAAATAATTAGGGCGGATGATAGTAACAATGAAATATGTATCACACTTGACCAATCAAATTGAACAGTGAATTTTCACGTTTGAGTACCGAATGATTTAATTTCGGGTTTTTAAAATGGACAGGAGTAAAATAGAAGAGAAACTGGAATTTAACCACATTTTCTTCATATCTAGATAACTTTTTACTTCCTTTGAAGATTCACTTGTAGAGCAATTTTCAAGTAAAACTATTCATTGAACCTTGGAATTATTTCTCTTAGGATCATGTGGCAGAAAAAAAGGGTGGATCACAACATGTGTAATTGAGACAAGAGCGTTTTTCAAACGGGGGAAGGAGAGAATACATTATTTAATAGAATCTTTTGTGAGGAAACAATTTTAAACTCTAACTTCTACAGACAAACGTAACAGATTTATGTTATTTTTTCGTTGATGATTAATTGACCAAAATCTTTAGATTTTTAAAAACTTGAAAAACCTTACCTGTAAGTCTGCGTTAGCCTCAACAGATATACTATCATTCACAATGCTTGGCCAAAAGCGACATGTCCCCTCTGGAGATACAGCAAGGCAGGACGGCATCTGGTAAAGGAAAGTACAACAATTTGAACATTCACTCTTGATACTTCAATGACTAAAAATCTAAACAGACATTCAGAGGAGTGAGCGTTTTAGAAGTACAAAAGGAATACTTGGACACAATTGTGTTTTACTTTGGAAAATCTGGCTCAAAAAGGAGCAAACCTCAGACATATTAGCACAAACTCCCTTCAAGTTTTAAACACTCCAAAACATGACATGAGTCCTCAGACAGAAGTTAACCATTAGCCCCCTTGCGGAACACTCTCAAATTGTGAAACAATATTTAAAAAGTGATCCAGGGGTGCATGAAATGCCCGATCACACACCCACCTGGGCGTGTGTAAATGTGGAAAAGCCCCCAAAAATGCGGAAGGAGGGAAAATTTGAAAAGGTCCAAAGTCGACAGTCAACGCAAAACAGAGGAAAAATGTCATCTTGTATGAAACAGGTTGGAAATTTTGTGGAAAGCCGGCGTGTGGGCATGTGAAATTATGGAAGCTTGGTAGATTCTGCGCCTCTGAAGTGATCATTGACTCTGTGAGTGTTTTTCCGATTTCCCTTGATTCTAAGGCATTCAGTGACCAGTGACTTCAACAGGTATGCTCTACATTTGAATACTTTAAGAAAATCTTCAAGAGGTCCCGGGTTCAATTCCCGGCCAGGTGACCTCAGTTTGATGGTCTCAGGCAATGGTCATCTCGGGTAATAAGCATGATAGTAGCAAATAGGCTTTCTGAAACTTGGTAAAAAAATAGAGTGAAAAAGATTCTTTATGGTTATTTCTGATGCTCAAATGAATGAATTTTTTGCGGCAGAATTGTTGTGTTAAAAGAGGCAGAGAACGATTCGAGCATGATGATCCATTTTTTTTATATAAAATTTTTCTGGTTATCATAGTCTGGAAAAGTGACTTGAGGATAAATTAACTTGAGGTCTAGAGTAAAGGTTTGGTTTCGTTGAACATGACTGCAGGGAGCTTAAGTAAAGCGAAGGCCGTCAAACTTACTGAATTTCCTTTTTTCATGAAAACAGAGACAAGAGCTGCTCCATGGGCTAGATCGCTGGGTGGCAACGTGAGTTCCCAACATTGGAGAGATTTAGCAAAAGAGCCGATTGTCTGCCACACAAATAATCTTCGTCCAACAACAAACCATGCCCAGCCTTCATTTGAGGAAATATTTACACTTGGCAAAGTGGAACCTAAAAAACATTTTTGGAAATTAACTTAAATCAAACAAATTTCATGGATCAGGAGGGTTTTGCATGATTGCATATTACTCATCAAGACAATCAGAGTTCTTTCAAATGCTTCTGAAATGTACAAATGATAGTGTGAAGGGGTGCAGAAAGAGGCATGACAGAACATCATAATTTAACTAGTCTGTTACACCTGAATTCTAAGAATACAATCCAGAGAATTCCAAAATTCCTGTTTATCTAGATAATCTGTATTTTAACATTATATTCTAACATTATTGTTTCTTAATACCTTTGTAAATTTAATTCATGTAGATAGATACAAGGCTTACAGTTATTGTTGTAGTTACGATATTTTTAAATACAATTTGTTTTAAAAAAAAATAAATGAATAAATAATAAAATAAAACGCTTTTTGCAATTAGTAAAACCTATGGGCAAAATTTAGAGGGAGTTTTTTTTCCCCCATTTTGGGATCCATTTTGAAAAGTATGTCACAAATAAATTAGTGAAGAGTTTAGACAGAAAGATGGTGATTTTGCCATTGTACGTGGAAATGCAGTATACAACTGAAATTCTCACCATAGAGAGAAGGAGGGGTGCAAAAACTTCACAAGCGAGCGGGTTGCAATCGGTTGCGTACGAAGTAGGAATAAAGAAGGCCCAAATAATGGGGTTTCAGAAGAAGGCGGCCAGCAAAATCGCGTTTCCTTTTCAAAACTACAGTAAAAATCTTAAGTTTTTGTCAAATTGTTGTAAAAATTGCGTGTATTCTGCAAAACCTCTGCAATCTTTACGTACAAAATCATGAAAAAGTAATCTTTTTGAAATTCCTACTAAAAAGGGGTTTTTAAAATGGGAAGGCCAAATGCTTCCAGCATCCCTAGATGGAAGATGCTCATTTGAATACAATTTTCGCTCTTAGAGTTGCTGTTTCGCACAACACAGGTTAGGTTAGGAAGGCAACAGTACACATGTTTTCCATCATCAGCCTCATAAATTTCTACCTCTAAGCTCAAAGAGTTCATGAAAACTTCGCCAAGCTTTGGGGAAACAATCCAAAGCCTTGCAGCAGCAAGCGAAGTAACTGCCATCTAATGAGAAATTACGGTGACAATTCCATTTAACCCTGGCAGGGCAGTGTTACTAAGAACAGTTTGCAGTCCAAAATAAAACAGGCATTGGTACATAAAATAGAAATTAAAGCATCTTAACTTACGTTCTGAAGAAATTAGGGCTTCTAGAATCAGGACAGGTATGTGTCCTGTAAATTGTTCTACGACATGGTTAGCTGATCGGTATATTTGATCGATGTGAGAGGCACTGCGCCTGGAGGAAAAAATAACGGTGAGTTTCAGTTAGAGTATCAGGTATGTAAAGTTATTAGAAGAATGTTAAAATGCTAAAAATTGATTATCAGTGGCTAGGTCTGAATGCTTTTCTGAATTGCAGTGATGAAAAAACTCTGATCATGCCGTAATTAAGTATATTCTTGAAGATGACTACCCATAACAAGTATCTTCATGAAATTTTATGTGAACGTTTTTAAACCAGAAAAAAAATTCCTAGAAAATCTTAAGGAAAACTACTAATTGAGTTATCCTGTAAGAAAAAAAAGAAAAAAAAGTAGAGCAAGAGCGTAAATTGTTGATATGGCAGACAAATCATTACTAGCGCTAGATAAACTATAGGCCTTTTTTTTATCCATGGAACGCAATGATCAGGGTCTTAACGTTTCCAAGTGGTTTGGCTGAGGTTAAGATCGCACCTAACCGCTTGCAACCCACCTCATGAGAAGGATTCTAGCATTCCAATTGAACACAAAGGAAAGACTGGACCACGCCAGTAGACCGAGATAAAAAAGTGAAGTGTTGCAGCGTGTTCCATTGCGATCCTCTGCGGTTTGCATCGAAAAAAGCCTCTGTTCAAAATTCTGCCATATTTACATTGTTGCTGGTTTGCATTATCATGCGTATATCAAGAGAAATAATCTCTGATATGAATCTATTTTAAAACGATGGTTAAAGCAACTGTCCTGTCATAATTGGACCGCGTTAAACAGAAAGGAACCAAGCCACATCAGCTATTGCCAAATTTAACCGGGAAATTACATTTTTTACGAAAAAACGCCTTCGCAGATTCCTTTGCAAATTTTAAGGAATTTGCTTTGCATTATGGAAAAAATTCACTGAGATTTGCACAGAAATCCGCACAACCGTTTTCATGTAAAAAATTAAATCGCCCGATTAAATTTGGCAATAGCTGATGTGGCTTGGTTCCTTTCTGTTTAACGCGGTCCAATTAAAGTTAGAAATGATAGGTAAAAACTTCCTCTTCTCAATGTGATGTCCACATAATGGGGAAGGATAAGGTTGATACAAGGCTAGGGCTTGACCAATCAAGCACAGACACATACGAAACTGACAAGCTGACTTACGTTGAAGCTTTCTTGGACCGCTGAAAAAGAGAGGAATTGTTTTTGCTTCGATTGAGAAATCGGCATGGTGGTGAGGCGACAAACTTTGGGCTGAAAGGAGAATCCATTCTTTGGATAGTGCTGAGTGAAGTTTACGGATGCAGGAACTGTAAATATAAAACTGAGTATTTTCTTGAACTTAACGACTAAACTTGGATATTCTAAAACACAAGTCAAGTGAAAAAAAGCATGATAAAATAAGGAAATGAGACCGGTGATTGCATTTAAAAAACTAACCTCCAAATAATTGGTAAACAAACCGAAAATGTGGCGCGAAAACGGCCGGAAATAGCCGAACACAGCCGAGTGTAGAGCCTCGGAGAAAGATAACAAATTTTCCGTTGTCATTCAAAATTTCAAAACCTTCGAAAGTCCAAAATCTGCTCATTTTCAGGCTGGAAAGCTCTCAGGAATGTTCCTTACTGAAATTTTTTTCACCATTCAATTCTAAGAAACGTAATGTGATGTAGTGATAAATGACATTCTCAAATATTTAGATACCTCGATTGCTTTGTGTTCATTTTGTTTTGTGTGTTCAGAAGTCGAGTCAGTTGTCATGAAGTCAAACATGTGCTTGTGTATGACTATAGCTGTAGTATTTTCGCCTCAAAAACATTATCACTAAGTTAAAGTGAGCCTCCTTATTACTCTTTTCTCTTTCTATCTGTGATAAAACATTCAATCATGTACATTCAACAGGATTGCTACTCTGATGAGCTCCGCGAGGAAGTACATTACACACTGAAGGTCTTGGGTGTCGTCAAAAGCTCCTTAAAGAAGCTCAACTCCAAATCAAACCTAGTAAGTTTTCACATTCTACTTTCATGATGGGAGATAGTAAGACTACGTAGAAACCTTGGTGATTTTAGACACCGCTCCGTGCAGCTTGCAAGCTGGATCTTCCGGTCACTAAGACCTATGAAGGTCCAAACCAGATAAGTTAGAGATGTCGTCAGCTAAGGTGGCTGCTGTTTACTTTCCTATGGCAAGCAACCGCAGTGCTATTGTTCAACAGTCGGCCTCCTATGGTGTAGTAGTTGTAGCGCTTGCTCTATAATCAGGAGGTCCCGGGTTCGATTCCCGGCCAGGCGACCCGAGTTTGATGGTCTTAAACAATGGTTGCCTGGGGCTGGTTTAGTAGGGACGGAGGGGGGATGGGACTTAAAGCGTGGGATTAGCCCTTGTGGGCTCTTTGAAGTAGTAAAAAAAAAAAAAAAAAAAGCGATCAAGGATTGACCATGGCATGATTGCCAGTAATTCCACCGCCGTGCGCAAAGATGTAAATTAGTCTAAGGGGCCTAACAGTCGTAAGTTAACAACTGCCAACTATGAGGATGACACCTCTATTGCACTTTTAGAGACGACAGGATGTCAGCTTTTTTCAGTTTGACATTGGAATTAAACAGAAATTAAGATGGCAAATCTTCTATCGTACCCCGAAAAGTGCTCAAGGTGATTCGACGGTTGCCATTTTTTGTGTCAGCAATGTGTGATGTATTGCATCAATTCGTTCCATAATTTCGGCTACTCATCATTTTTTTCGAATTTTGAGATCGCACTTCTGTTGTCAAAAGACGAAAGAATTCATGTACCAAATTTGACTTGGTAATTCAACGAGTTCAATGCAGGGGTTTTTCAAAGTGAAAAAAATCGCATTCGAGTGCAGTTTTGAATGGGGTATTATTCCTCTGAAAAAACCCTTTTCTTTGTCAAATTTGGTACATGAATTCTCTAGTCTCATGACAGCAAAAGTGCGATCTCTAAATTCGAAAGAAATGACAAGTAGCCGAAATTATGAAACGAATTGATGCAGTATATTGCACATCGCTCTGACACGAAAATTGGCAGCCGTCGAATCACCTTAAACTACCTGTACCTGTGTGTATACCCTGGTTTGCCTGGGTATCTTTGTTTTCTACACGGTGTCATTGGCATCTGTTTAAAGTAGAAGTCTTTCGAAAGCCTACATTGCAAGGAATATACTCACTCCAAGGGAGTATTTTACATCTGATGCTGTCATACCGATAATCTTTTCTCTGACGTTTGTCCAAGATGGTTTCAGAGGTTCAAACCCTATCATCCTCTATTTAAGTAGGGCCTGTAACAAGAAGATTCCGTTTTGATCAAGAGTAATTTTTATGAATACTGCAATTGATATCTTTAGTGCAGTAAGGAGGGAAAAAATCCGGAAGTTTCAATTCCTTAAACTTCACTGCTACTTATATTTTACGAATCATGCATTGTGTTTATTTAATCAATTTCACTTAAAATTATGAGAGACCTGCTCAGTCAAACATGTGCAAAAACGTTGTCACATCGTCATTTTCCACTTTACCATTCGGACAACATTTTCACACAAGTTTTGCCAGGTAGGAAAGCTCTCTTGCAAATAAGGATTTTCACTGAAACTTAAGCGCTTACTTGCAATAAGCGTATCATGTTTATAGCATTCTTCGTCTAGAAAAAACAAAAACAAAAAAACAAGAGTTCACATTTGTTTGAACAACTCTTGATTTTAAATGTTGATTTTAGTTGCCCCTATTTTCAATTTACACATCCAAATAACGCTTATTAAAATCTGCTTTTAATATTCACAGACAACTGTCTCCAAAAAAATTTTCAACACGCCCATCTCTCACCTGGATAGACAACCTGTTCTTTTGCGTCACAGTGGTGCGATAGTGCACATTCCATCATTTCTTATCAATGCCTGCAATCATTTACGCTCTGACTTGACTGTTGAAGGAATCTTCAGAAAAGCTGGGTCTACCATTCGTCAGAAAGAAATAAAGGTAAACAGTTTGAAAGGAATGCCATTTAGAAAGAGGGAGTGCCTGCCACTTAAAAAACTGTGCTTCTCAGAGGTCATCTTTAAGTTTTTAGAAATCCTCATGAGTACCTACCGACGATATTCTTTAATCTTTGCTCTTTGTCAAGAATTTTTTCCAACCGAAGGTGAGCAGGTATTTTACAAACATTAATTGAAGCGCTGGGTGCCAAAAGAGCATTTCTTGGTTGCAGTGTCTCAGGATCTCTGTTATTGTTTTATCCACTATAATTAAAGAAAATGCATGGAATTCAATAAAGCTTTTATTGAATTTTCTGCATTATTTTACAATTCTGAAAATTAAAAATTTCAGAAGATTCACCCAATAGTTTCCTCTCTAAGTAACATGTAAATTAGCAGTGGAGATTCTGACACACCGCATCAGAGAAATGCCCTCTCTGCACCAAATGCCTCGATTGTCTCTTTTAAACAGAGATGCACGATCTGTCAAGCCTCCATATTTGCATGTGCCTGCCTGGCAGCTTTCCACATGTTTGTTTTTGGCTTGTTACTAAACTTTCCAAGGTTATGACCATTTTCTTCTTTTTTCCTTTGATTGTTTACCACTGACCCTGAAATATTTTCCTTTCTTCCACATTTGGAAGGGCCTCACCACATTTTCACACGCCCAAGCAGGCGTGCAATTGAGAATTTCATGCATCCCTGCATTCAAACAGCAGCATTTCCTCACGAATTTATGTTTGTCTTGAGTAAAGGCTGTTTGAATCATTCTGAAAAATTTCAAACAATGCAAGAGCCTTTCTCTTGGAGAAACAACAGCGAAGAAGGAATCAGAAAGAAGGAGCCAAGCATTTCGTTTCAACACTCATTGAATTTTTTATTTCATGAATGTGATGATGAGCTTTAATGATTATTTAGATTTTACCTTTTTTCTCTTCTCAGACACGACTAGAAAATGGTGGAGGTCTCATGGCAGATGATCATGTCATCGATGTTGCCAATGTATTGAAGTATTTTCTAAGGGAACTCCCTGAACCACTCATTCCGTACAGTCTTCATGAAACACTCCTCAAGTAAGTTATTCAATTACTCAATGAAAAGTCCTTTTATCGACTCCTAAATAAGGTGTAACTGTACAATTTACATTGATTAAATAGCAGAAATACATATAACGTCATTTGTATAATCTAACTTCCATCATAATTTGTTTAGAAGTTGATTTCCAAACTTCCATGTATGTGAATCGTTTTCTACATAAGATTTTGAAGAGAATGAATCCATGATGCAAATCCGCAACCTTGTATCTCGTTTGTGGTGTTTACAAATCTCGGGTCCTATTCTATTCTGTCAAAGGAGAACAAATCGATATCATTCCTTGAAGTTTTCACATAGTCTCTTTCTTACAAAGAAGAATAATCACTGCAGTTAGTAAGAATTGTGGTTGAGCCGTTTTCCATTCAAAAAATAAAGTATGACAGGAAGTCTGCAACATCACAAACCGAGTTAAGTGATTGCCGACTTACACCGTCAGCATGTGACTTTTTTTGTTGTTCAGAACTGGTCTAGTTTCCTATTACATTGATTAGTCATCCAATGAAAAATAAATTTGATCAAGCGTCTGCAATATTGCAAATCATGATGCGAGGTTTTTGAGTTTTACCAAAAATGCACTGCCCTTGCTGACTTCTTGACGAGAGTAATAACTTAAGGCTACTGAATTAATCATAACAAAAGTGAAAAATGTATACAAAATAAGGCAGAAGGTGTTATCACATTTACAATTACAAGGTACAATATTACGAGCCTTCATGAAGGACTTTTCAGTCTATTGTGTTAGACTTTTGTGCTTTCTGACTTTTTTTCTATTATTTCAGGTGCCTCTATTTAAAAGGCAGAGAAGACGATGCAGTTCTTTTGACTTGTCTCCTTCTGCCAGCTGAACATTTGGATTGCTTAACGTATCTGATAGAAGTAAGTACCAAACTTTGATTTCAATGAGTTGTCATAATAGGATGTTAACGATGGCATCAGGTGCCTGTGATTGACTGGTGAATATCAGACTGTAAATAGACTGCATTTTGCAATTAGGAACCTCAATTCCTGTCTTATCCATAAAAACATACATGTACGTAGGAAAACTAATGGTACGTATGTTATTTCTAAACTGACCCGGAAATTGTAAATCCTAATTGCAAAATGTAGTCTAAATGATGAATCTGTTGACAGGTTATCAGTGTTCTGCATTTTTCCTAAAATTTTAGGAGCCACATCGGCCGAAAAACTCAACTAGACTTGAAATAGGGCCACAGATGCTTTCTGATTGAACGCAACTACTGTTGCGCCAGGCAGGCTAATTTCGAGAAGAAAATTGTGCTCTTACTGAAATTTTTCCTTTGTAGTGAGAGTATCATCACGTAATGCAGAGTCATGATGCCCCTCGGCTATGATTGAACAATCAACAACTTGTGTCTATTCTGCCGTGCTGAGGAAAAATGCCGTATGAACCTTCAGGCGTTGCCAAATTTCCTTCGATAAACAGCAAATTTCCTGGTAAAGTTATGAATATTTTCCTTCCAATTTTTCAGATGATTTTGCTTGGAATTTCACCGAAAGATTCTGAAAATTTAAAGGAAAAATATCCCTAACTTTTGTCAAGAATAAACATTCTATCAAAGAAAATTTGGCAACTGTCGAATTTTCATACAGCATTTTTCCTTAGCTCGGCAGTATTATCTTATACTCCACACATTCTCATAAATCTTCACAGCCAAACTTTTCATTTCTCTGTCTCTATCATATTTCATAAATATCCTAATCAATTTTTATTATTTTCTTTTTTTTCAGTTTCTTAGTGAGGTGATTGCATTGAAAGATTGCAACAAAATGGGTTCTTATAACCTAGCCGTTGTTTTTGCACCAAGCATCATGCCAATCAAAAATAATAGCTCTCAAGTGCTCTTAAACCAAAACACCACCAACCATACAAAAATTTGCAAGGTAAGTTTCCTGCAACCTATTTTTTAGGAGAGCTATTTTTGTCAATTTAAATTGGCGATTCAGGTTGTGAGTTTTTAACAACATTAAAAAAATGAGTTGCATATTGTTTCGTTCATTTTTGTATCAACAGAGGGCAGTAGTAAGTTTCATTTTAATTCAACAATTTTAACCCCAAAACATTGCATGTTAAAACTTAAAATTGTTTTTTCTCAGAAATGCATAATGAGGGGCCATTCATAATGTATGCAACAGTGAATTTGGGATTGTTCGACACCCTCTCCCCCTTGATACACTTTTATGACATAGGTCTGTACATTGTAATCAGTGTTCTGCCTTCCCCCTAAAATTTTAGGAGTCACCTTGGCCAAGAAGCCCAATTTTTAGGAGCCAAATTAAATTTTTGCGTACAGGCCATGGCGAATGAAAATTCCCGGAAGGCATGAATGCGGAGTTGCAGCGTATAACAGCCCAAACGCTATAGAATGTTCCAAAGAGCGCTTCATCGCTACCGCTGCTTCCTGATAGCGAGTTCAATGTGTCAAATTTTTCAGGCGCCACGATGGCCCAGCCCCCCCCCCCCCCCCAATTTGTCAGCGCCAAGGCCCGATTTGATTTTTAGGTCTATTTGGCGCATGGCACTCGAGGAAGGTAGAACACTAATTGTAACCCCATAAAAATGAAATGGTATATATAATGCTATCTGTGACCCCCCTTTCTAGAGCGTTAGATATTTTATGAACAGTGCGGCCCCTAAGTCTGATTCGGTTTAATGCAATTATGCAATTTTCTTTCCAAAAACCGTCATAAACCACTCCTCTTTCCTTAAGTCTTTACAAAGTTCTCGATTTTGAAGTTTTCCTGATGTAGGTTTGCTCTCCTTGTTGGGAGAAACAATTATTATGTATTTTTAACAAGTACTCTGAACTCAACCTTTTGCTTTCAGATTCTTTTGGAAAATGCCTGCCTCCTTGGATCGGTGCCAGATTTTATTTGCGAAAAACTTTCACTGGACACGCAGAGTAATCATCGCAGAAGGAGGAACAGTGGCTCCATCACAAGTAATTTTTTTTTTTTTTTTGAATTATCTTCATCAAAAGATTAATTTCTTGGAAGTTTCAAAAATGTAAATCACACATCTTACTGTTCCTAGGAATAGCCCTAATTGAAGCATTTGAGATGAAACTCCGTATTTACAAGGACATGGGGTGTTTTTTTGGAGGGAAGAAAACTGGTTGTCGTATCACAGCACATATTTTTATGATCATGTTCAAAAAGTGTGGAAAAAATGCAATAGTTCTCCTATGATTAATGGCTAAATGACAGAAGATAATGAATTGAGGCATTTCAAGTTTGTCTCTTATGCTTGAAACAAGAGAATAATTGTATTTAAAGAGAGAAAGAATGAAGAACACAAACCAGGAAGAATATTCCTATGAGCATGTATCTTTTTTGGTTTCAAGACCGTGAAAAGAAAACTTAAATTCATCATGACAGACTTTTTTCAATAAAAGTACTTTTTTGCATTAAATAAAACATTCATTATTGTAACAAACAACTTGGTTGAATTTTATTTCAGCATTCAACTGTCCAAATGTACTTTAGCGTTTTTAGTTTTCAATTTTTCTGTAGATTGTTAGCTAGGAAGTCTATAGGTCCAGAAAAAGTGCAGAATTTTTTAAACAAGCTTCGAAGTATTGAAGAAGTATGGGAAACTTACAAATGGCCCAGAATTGTGTGTGTCAAGCATTAGTTAAGACATTTATCCTGAGAGTAATGCAACAAACGACAATCTAGCTATGTAGCAATAAGAAGCAGAAGCAATATCTGCCAGGATACCTTTATTGTGCGTTATGCCAAGAAGTTCAAACTCATAGGAAATATTACTTTAATTTATCAGATTTTTGAAAGGATCGACTTTGACATCTTTGTTTCAAAAACTTATTTTGAATTTATTCTCTTATTTTTGTAGGAATGTTCAGTGGTTTCAAAAAAATGGTCGGTAAAGTTAGTTCAGGCGCCTCAGATTCTAATCTCAATTCCAAGTGCAACGTTCCGGTCACTCCCTCTAGCAACGCAAATCACGCAGTGCCTGTTCTCTCAGCAAAGAAACGCAAAGTTCTAGATACATCAACACCATTCTCTCTGAAGAAAAGGTAAAATCATTATGACAGACAAAATTTATCATTATGCTTCATTAGTTTATGCAGAAAAATATTTTTCATCAATTAATGTATCAGCCTCATCCCATTCTTTCAAGAGTATGTATGAGAGTATATTTTTTCTCACACGTTTTCTCAGTCATAATGCCCATTTTATTTTTCAGGCGAGAGGTGCTCCGTTGCTTACCAGAGGAATCGCTCCTTCCGAAGTCACCTATGGTTCCTAAATGTCTTTCTAGTCGTCTAAAAATTGCCGAGTAAGTGTCTATTCGTGAAACATAATTTTTCAGACTTAACCGTTAGTGTTGAAATTTGAGTTCTCATAAAAGCGAATATTTCATCCTTAATAGTCATTGCACTCCTTTTTTTAACACCCTTTTAGTGCCTGATCTTGATTTTTAAGACTGTATACATTTTTTGTAACTTTTGTCCATTCTTTTCTTTCCCCAGTACAAGAATGTGCTTAATCTGTAGAAGTGTGAGTCAGAGATCGTGATATTTTTTGATAAATTCCACAAGTGTATTGGCTGTAGACAAATAAAATATGCCCCTCATGAACCCGATTGTGGATCCTAACCCTAGATTCTAACCATGACTTGAAATAAAATAAAATGAAAGTGAAACTGGCAAGAAACAGTTTTTAATGCATGAAGTTCTTTTAAAGAAATTCTTTCCTCAGAAAGATGTTTCCAGAAAAATCAACATCATAACAACTTTTAATTTTTTTAAAATTTTCAGATCTCGATCTTCAAACAATAAAAGTTCAGATAGTGAAGACATTCTTCGTGACTGCGCGACTGGCTCAAGGGATAACTTATTCATGCATAATGAAAATCCAACGCATACGTAAGTACTCCATCGTACCTTAAATGGTTGTGCATATAGTGAGTTTTGAAAACAAAGCAAATAGTCAATTATTTGCAAATACAACTGATTCCAACTGTGTTTATATTTATAAATAGCATGAAAATTTACAAATGATGAGAGGAATCTTAGGTGACTGTCCGCAAGGGAAGGCACCTGTGTCCACAGTGGCAAAGTTTTCATCAATGTTGTGGTTGGGGAGAAAAATCCAAATTTCAAATTTCAAAGGATAACTCTTCTAATTTCCTACATAACGCAGACTTTCTTTGTTGCTAGAGTACATCTACTAAGATGGTAGCAATGCTTTCACCTGTCTTTTCGCCGTCTCACTTTACTTTGTTTTTGCTCCGCCTGCACAATATTGCTGTAGTTAATGCTTCAGAAGTGTTCATAATGATAAATTATTTTCGAACTTCGATCAAAGCAAACGGTTGGAGTTTAAAAGCCTTCTCCTTTTCTTTCTCCTCTTTTGTATCGTCTTTTCATTCTAAGTGTTAATCAGGCAAATGTATCATTTCAGGAGCAAAGACCACCATCAGGAAGCTATTCGTGGATCTCATTCAGCTCTCTCAAGGTTTAGCGATTATTCTCGCAGGAAACTGAAAGCTGCCAAAGTAAGGAATATTATCATTTAATTCCAATTTTAATTTAACTGCTCTATTTTTTACTGCAAAGAGCGGTTTTAAAAATTTGATAAAAAATTCCAAATAGAAATGCGAATACCAGGTCTGCCTACTAAAACTAGAACATTGACAACATACACATCCTATTGTAGATTTTGAAATTTTTCGCAGAACACAATGCTGTTTCTAAAATCATTAGGTCTCATTTCCCAACATGAGTTCTTGTTAATGATGCAGTCATCCTTGAGGTGAAAATTTTGATTTTTCGCTAGCTTCCTTGTTAAAATAATAGTGAAACAAGACTAAAAAACAAGGATTATACATTTTAAATTGCAATAAGAATCACCAAAAATTAGAAAACTCAAACTTTAATTAAATAAAGGAAGTAAAAAAAGTTTTAGTTTTCTAATTTTCAACTTTCTTTTGACATCTTTTCTGTGGAAGAAACTAGGATGTAGTTGCAGCGCTTTCACTTTGGACTAGTATTGAACAACGGAACCATAGACATACTTATCTAAAAGCTATTGAACAAATAACAGGAGTCAAAATACTTCAAGCTTCAGTGTCCTATAGACACCCTTTTTATGTGTAATAAAGTCTCCAAAATACAGTTATTGGACTATAATGTCAAATCAATCAGAGTTTCATGCATTCTTATCTTTACAAAATCTTACCTGTATACACTACCAAATATTTTTCCCCCTTTTTATATCTCAACGATGATAACTGCAATGACGCTAAATGTCTTTGTTTCTTTATTTTTTTCTTAGCAACTGAGTAAAAGTTCAAGCTTAAATGCTCTTACTCCGGACGTGCATGCTGAGAAACCTCTGATATCAACCCCCAGAAGATTAGCCATGTCGCAGAGCAGCTGTTACTCTCAGTTCATGGAAGATGACGTTGTGTGCGTCCCAAAAAAAGAGTACGACGAGATCAAGACACGGTTGTCGGAAATTGAATCGCGAATAAACACTGAGTTCAACAGCATTGGTGTCCCCTTAAGCGATAGTGACGGGAGTCAAGAAGACCTGAGGGCTCCGTCAGAAGTAGACAAAGTCCAGTCTCAGTACCAAAAAACGCTGCTTGAAGCGGGAAGACTCTCCGACTGCTCAACTGACACCATCGCGCAACACCTGAGCCGAGAACTAAAAATTCGTCACAGCAGTGGGAGCAGAGTCATGCGGTCTCCGAGTCTGCGTAAAATTGGATCTATTCGCCGTCGCTCCCAAGAGCGTGTTCCAAAAACACAATTATCTCGACAAGCATCGTTAAATCTGCATAAAACGAAAACCGCACAGTTGTACAGGAGCCGCAGTCTCCAGAGAGGCAAGCCCAATTCCGTATCATCAGGGCTGCAACAAATCAGCGTCAACGGTATGAAACTTGGTAGATCGTTCTCGGATAACAATAGAAAGCGACCAACAATCAAGAAAACACCTCAGCCAATAATGCTCAAAAACGCATCCGTAGTTAAATCTAATCCCTCTATTAATACAAAGCCGAATGATGTAAAGGCAGGGCCTCGAGAAGAGTGGAAGAGTGCTGAAAGTTTTCTTGCAAACGAGGGAATTGAAAATAAGTCGCACTGGTTGCATTCGGATAAACGGGAGTCCATCAAGCAAATCCGGGCGAAAAACGCAGGGATGGTGATGGAAAAAGCAAAAATGTTCAGCCATATAGCTGACCGCATGGGTGCTCCACCTCGCAGAGCTCAGTCTTCCGGAAACTTTGTCACATGCATCAAATTGAACACTGTTGATAGCAACATTCAAAATCGTAAAGAACATCTCCCCAAAATATTAGAGCCTCCTCGTATTTCTGGGAAGGAAAATCGTCGTAGTGGAGCGAAAGAAAGCGTGGTTTCTCCTAGTGTCTGCAAAACTCCTGTGTCTAGTTTTTTGCACCGAAATCAGCAGCTGATAGGCAGTCCAAGCTCTTCTGCAAAAAAACGGCGACAGGTCATGCGCACTCAAAGTGAAAGAACCCCTCACAAAACAATTATAGCTATTGGCACACCTCGTAGATCTCCTCGTTTGAATGACCTTAAGAAGCTATAGTGCAATCAAATCTTACGCTTTACCTGATCTGTACCTAAGTTTTGCATTTCTTAGTTTATGTACTTAAATCGAGCAGTATATGAACCATTGCTGAAGTAGATATTTTACCAAAAGACCCACATAAGGAATTTTTGCTTTAATTTTAATTCTGAGTTCTAGAAAATTAGGTTTTACTCGTTCCTTAACAAAAGTGAATGACTATTTTAATATTTTTTTATTGATTTAGCTCTCTGACATTTTTTATATGTTAATGACCGTGTTACTTTTAGTCATTAGGGTTAAATTTAATTATAATATCGGCTGAGAAATTAAAAATCATTTAAGTTTCCTCAGTCCGGATCAACAAAAAATGAGATCAGATTTATATTTTATACACCCATCCTCTAATTGGAGCAAAATACAAAACCATCAACTGTAGAAACTTATCTCAGGTGTCTTTCTTCGACAAATCTATAACTGAAAAAAAATCCTAAAGTGAAAATTCACCTTTCGATTTGACTTATCAAATATATTTTTTTTTTGTTTGGACATTATGATTTCTAAGGCAGGGTTCTTAAAAAAAAAAAAGATTCGGGAACAATCATATATGTGCTTTCAATTATAGTTGTTTTGATTTTTGCTAAAAATTTTAAGTACTAATGTTTTAGCATTTGTTTGATTCTTAATGCCCGTTTTCCAGTAGAAATTTATCCTAAGCGTCTTATTCCAAAAATATCAATGTTGTCACTTACCTTAAACTTGTTAAGCAGTACCCATTAATCGGTCAGCCACTATTTTAGCTTTCTAAACAGAGTGTAAAAGTTAAGGCAAGTACTGATTTCATATGTTGTTCAATTTCCTTCTGAGAATAGCCTGTCAAGGAAAGGCCTTTTTGTGCACCTTTTTGGGGGAAGTCAACGATTTTGTTTCAATGTGTCCTTAATGAAACCTTATGATGGAACAATCCTTCAGTGAAAGCTTTAACTTGAGTTCAAAGCTGGTCTTGGCTATACAGCACTGCTAAGTTTTCAGTTTTTCCCGTTGAAAAATGCTAATACTTGGAAATTTCTATGTTGAAAAATAGTGAATTTTCTTCGGAAAATACACTAAAAAATTACTTAAGTTGGTCCTGTTTTATTTCCTGAGGCACACTAAACCAACTGTTGATACCATGTCTCAGAAAATAAAGCGGAATCAACTTAACCAAAGAACCAAAGCTGCTTTCGACCAAAGAACTTCAAAATTTCAGCATTTTCAATGGTAAGAAATGTAAACTTTTGAAACTTTGCAATGTTGTATTGCTAAAAGGAGCTTTGAATTCAAGTTAAATTTTGCACTGCAGGATTAGCTCATCATGAGGATTCGTTTAGGGCACGTTTAAATAGAATCCCTGAGTTTCCCCAAAAGGGGCACTTTTTTGGTAGTTTAAAATTTTGAAGAAGAGATCAGAACACTGTTTCAATTTCTCCTTTAAAAATTTAAGTCTTCGCTGTGCCTTAATTTTGGAATGATGCGTTATTACTTTCTAGAAGTTGTTCGTAAAAAAGAAACTTAGGAACACTGCAGATCTGCAAAAATGTTATGCAAGTTCTAAAATGTCTTATTTCTTTGTTGCCATTAATATTGTTTTATTTTATTATTTGTCATATTGTATACTATTTATCGTTTCTCCTGAAAATGATTTCTCAACTTTAACATTCACAGATGAAAAATCGATTTTTGTGCTAAAATTACATTTCTCTTTGATGAGCATCAATCTGGAAAGTAAACCTTCTTTGAGCTACACAAATGCAAGCTTTTTTTTAAAAAAAAAAAAGAAAAAAAAGGTGGATCTGGCACATTGACAACAATGGAATTCCTCCATTTAAACATATGCAGAATAATCTATTCTTGTTGGAGCACCTGCCCCTCCGAGAATGATTCATTTCCATTGGTTTAAATGGAGAGGAAGCAGTGTTGCCAACTTGCTGGATCGGCCAATGATAACACTTTTCACATCGCTGACCTCTCTTTCCGCAAACCTTGTGAAAGCTCATCCCAATGTTACATGTCACTACATAAAACCAAAAATTCCTTTTGTTTTAAACCCTTTAAAAATGCAACTGATTTTAATCGCTAGTACAGAGCCACTAAACTGGAAAAATCTATTTAAAAATTAGTTACAGTTTCCAAAATCTACATTATTTTTATTCTCATGTATTTTTTCACATTTTAACTCAGGAAGATTCGATCTTTAGACTCATGTTCATCAACGATTTGGTTTTATTATAGACGCAAAAACTGATCACAGAACTTTTTCGCCCTGAAAAAGGGTGTATTTATCATTTTTCAAAGGAAGCAGGAAGCTGAAGAAAAAGAAGTATACTTTTTTTATCAACCATGCAAAGTAGGGGTGAAAATCTAAATTCGGTGTCACTAAGAGTATTTAACTTTTTACAAATGGGAAATGGGTCACGAATTAGAGGAGTCAAAGAATCTTAAAATTTAAGACTTCAAAAATAAATGTTAAAACTCTCTAAAATTCTAAGGTTCTTTACTCCTCAAATAAAAGACTAATATTTTATTTGTAGAAAGTTCAGTGCTTTTCATAAAATCTCCAAGGAGAAAACAGCATCCAAATCTGGATTTTGATCTATAATTTTGAACGACAGACCGAGAAGGCATGCTTTTTTTCTTGATTTTTTTTAACTTAACTTTTCTGTGCAGAGAGATATACATACTTTAGCCTCTAACTTTGGACCTCCTGTGAATATTTTGTGTGTAAATTTTTTTAAATGATGTCTACTTCTTGAAATGAAGATAATTTTTTGTATTATCAATCCCCAATGATTTTGTATCCTACCGATTCTAACCCCAATTCATGCTTGCCAAATGCAGTCACATAAAAATTTATCAAAGACATACAAAGATTCTGTGAATTGCTTGCTCACTTTTTGAAATTTTATTATTTATGGCCTTGAGTACTTTGCACTCTAATTGTGATTTAACTTTCACTCTGTATTGTGATTCAAATGACCTTGTAGATATGTATTTTTTATTGATATTTTTTATTGTCTTTTACTTGCCTAACTCTTGATGAAAATATTGTAAATGTGATTCTTGTATCAGGTTCTTACTTTTTATGATTCTCTTGTATCTTTCATTAAATGCCTGACCACCAGAAAATGTCGCTTCTCTATTGCAAGAAATTCTAATTAATGTTCTCCTTAAAGATTTCCTAAGACATGGTGTCTACTAGGAAATACCTAGAAAATCCGAGATTTATCAGGGAAAGGAAAATTTCAGGGAATCTGTTCCAGTAACCAGGAATCTCTTCCTCTGCCGTTAAACACTCATCCCTCCTCTCTGTACTTTTGAGACTATACCTTGGCACCACTCCTAAGCCCATGGGATCAGGGGCCTTTTAGGCTTATTTTAATGTTCAACATTTTGGTGCTGGTCGATCCTTTAAAAAAATAAAAATGGATCGATTTTGGAAACAGAAAAATGTTCCCTTGATCATTTAATTTGTTCTTTAATTTTTGATCCTAAGTCTCGACTCTTCTTCACCTTTCATTCAATGATCAGTCCTCTGAGAACTTGGACATTATATCATCTAATTTTTGTATAACAGTACATGGAATAGGCAAGCATTTAGCAGAAGAGGAGGGTAGAGACCCCCTGGCAGTAAGAGGGTTAAATGAAAATAATGGTCGATCTTCAAGAAAATTCAAGGTATATTATTACATATAATTACATAATTAACAGATGGATCATTGACTTTGCTGTTAAATAAATAAGTTAAAGTTAGTACTTACATAACATGAAAAATTAACATTTTGAACCTGAAAAATAAAAGCTCGGTAAATACTTGCTACGGCTTATTAAGCAAAGAGTGGTATTTCTACAAAAAATGTTGGACAAGACATGATGTTGATGGATCAGTAGCCAATTTTACAGTATCCTCTTCAAAATATTTCGTAGGAAGTACAATAGAAAATTGGGTGAATGGCAATGAGATACGGATGATGAAAGTTCAATTGCAATGACATAATCGATGAATGAAATTTCTCACTATAAATCATCAACATCAATAGCACCGCTATTTTTATGAAATTTTGGAGAGGCCTGTAAACAACTCAGTGCTTTGATTTATATCTACTGACCCAGCAACAATATTCTTTGTCTTCACGGAAAAATTAATTATCATTAAAATTTTCTATACGTCTTGGAGGGATACCACCAGATTCTTTTATCGGTGTAGTCTTCCATACATTTCATTCTTTCACACATTCATTATTTGTAAATTTACTTAATTTTCTTTTCGGAAACATTCAAATTGCAAACTTTCCTGAGACAACATGGTGAACAGATGTCCTCGAATTACAAACTTTAAAAATTTAACAGCACTTTTTTAAATTGCAAGACTGAAATAAGACATTTCTGCTAGTTTTTTTAATATCGCTTCGTAAGTTTGATTTTACTTAAGAATTTAGATAATTAGACTAGCAGGAAAAAATTAAAGATAGAACTAGTGCTGCAATGAAGTGTTCGACATTGAAATTTATAATTATTTTAAAACATTTTTAGTTCAGCTTGCAAAAATTCTGTTCTTTCAATTAATACCATGCTTCTAGAAAGATAACTTCCTAGAAGCTAAAATACCCATTATTAATAAGCACTAGTATGAATACAATTGTAATGTTCACAACTGAGGGAAAATTGGTTTTTCTTACAAGTTATGAAACTTCTCGAACAGATTCCAGCCCTAGAAATTTCATAGAAAACCTTTAGCTATTTCAAATGTTTAGTAGATAAATAGTTCAAAAATAGAGAGCTCTCAAATTCTTTAATCTTTCGTAAACTTTAAACAGGGAAAAGAATCGATACACAAAATAGACAACTTTTAAAAAAATAACTGTCCAATTTGAAGAATAAACTTATCGGGCAACAATGTTGTAGATTAAACGCGGCATAGTAATTTATATAAACACCACCATTCCACAAAAATTGGCCCTCGGACCAAGAAACTTTACTTTGAGATCAAATAAATTTCTATTCGAGTATTAAAAACGATCGGACAATAATCTATATGGGGCTTGGGCAACTATGTTAAAGATTATAGACCTAAGGCTTCAACAAAGCTGCTGTTTCAGACAATTAGTGAAAATTTTTATTTTTAGACCTTAGTCTAACCTTAAGACTTTAGAACTTCACTCTTCCTTTCATAAAAATAGAGAGTAAAAAGTCATCTATATAAGTGGCAAATTTGATTTAAAAGAGTCAAATTCCCTCCTGTCCAGAATCCAACCTTTTTTCCTATAATCTACAACAAAGTCATCAACATGGTTGAAGTTCTACAAAAATATTTACTTGCAAACAGAAAAAAAATAGTAAAAGTATCAAACTTCAAGGCTCTCTAAATCAAACGCAAGGTTGAAAAATCGTGAAACAATATCCAATACAAGCACAGGATGTCGAGATGGCCATTGAGAGAGCATTAAAAGCAGTCGCAAAGAATTTTAAATTCATTTTCAAAATCACTGTACACTCAATTCCTTCAAGTCTCTTTGTACTGAATGGTGTTCACTGAAAAATTAAGGCATTCTCCTTTGAGCATTATAGCGACACTTAAAAAGAAAAAAAGAACCATCAGCAGTGAAACTTGAGAAACTGAAAACTGAGGATGTCAGCTTTCTACAATTTTCGGATGCTTGATAAAAATTGGGTTTCCCCATTGCATGCGAGAACTCTTTTTATAATTTTAAAAATGTTGTAATTTTGGAGTAAACTGCTGCCGTTTATTGAGAGAAGATTTACAAAACCCCCTTTACACTGCATTTTTCAAGAAATTTGAATTGACAATAAGGAGGCATCTTTGAACCTTTCTGTTATGACACACTATTAGTAGCTAATTACTGAGCAAAATAGCTTGGGGTACATAATTACTGTAACGTTAGGAAAATAGAAAATAAAGTAAAAAGAGCACTTTAAATTTTAGCGCTAGTATAACCATTGGTCCGATAAGAGGCAATAAATTATCACCTTCTGACAATATTTGAATGAAATCAAACTTTTGCAAGAACAAGCAATTCCTGCAACCATGGCTTCCTAGACTGAACTTAATACTATTATTACGGCAGTGAGATTGAATTAAAAGCCTTTGAAACATTAAGTAAATTCTGAATAACGTTCAGAGAATGTGACAGAATAATTCAGGATCTGTAACCACACTCCCAGATCAAATGAAAATTATTGTTCTTGAGAAAATTTGTTTAAATTATTGATTTATCTTAAACTGTAGACATTTTTCATGTGTTTGACTTCAGATCATTAGGAATCGTAATTGTCTCTTTTGAAAGTTCCTAATTGAAAGAGTATTTCCATCATTTTCTCTAGGAAATTAAATTAATGACGATTGGTTACTACATGAGCCAGTCAAGGTCAGTAACTTTTATTTGACTGTACAGCATTTCTTTTAATTACCTACTTCTCTTTGTACCTCCCGATTAAACGATAACCTCTTTTCCGAATGCACTCGTAAAAGAAATCAGACAAAAGGAGCTGCAGGCAAAAGGACAAAAATATGCAAATTCTGACAAACATGAACATCGAAATAGTACTTAAGGTGGGGACAAAGCGGTTAAATCTGATTGTCTCAAAAAAGGCAGCCTACAAAGCCGATGATCTCAACTTTATCTTAAAAAAGGTGAATTTTGGAGATGGAACGTTTTTGAAAGTCTTAGGAGCAAATAATTTTTTGAAACAACATTTCAAAACTTTTGATTTTAAACGACAGAAAAGGGGAAAGTAATCTTCTATGATAAAACCCATGATCCAGACATTGCTTGAAACATATGAAGTAAAATGAAGAGAACGCAAACTGAGGAAGAATATGCCAACTCAAACGTACTTCTGAGGCCATTACGTAATACTACACCTCGGATTTTTGCGCACGCACACACAACCCTCCCCCCTCTCCTCATAACGCTTTTGTGACATGGGTTCCTGTCCTTTAACATGTAAAAACAAAATGGTGAAACGCTCTTCTCAACCCTCCCTCCCACCTTGAAGCGTTGCGTGTTTTAGGAACAGCCCCAAAGTTCATGCCAAATTAAAGTCAGATTAACGAGGGAAACTGAAGGTCTGCCGCCTTCATTTCCACATTAGAATTACATAAAAGCAAAAATCAAGACAGCAGATTTTCCTTCTCACTAAAAAGGCAGTTGCAGCCTGCTTGTTGAAATTTGTGTCGGCATGACAAGAATCGAAAATCGATACATTACATGGCACAGATAGGGCTTTGTCTTGTCTTATCTTGAGGACATTGCCAGTTAAAATTTCAAGAATCAGGCTGCTGGCTACTTTGGCATAAACTCAGCATTAATAATTAGCACCTCTTTTGCCGTCAAAAGTCAAATTACTGGAGCAACTGCAAGAAAATAATGCATGGAGAAAAAATCATACTTTAAAGTAAGCTGTGTATAATACAAAGATTTCGAGCATCTCGTAAAGCTCCTTGAAGTTTGGACTTTAAAATCAAAGCAAAGTCAGTCAAATTTAATGGCCTGATCAATGATACTTTCTGCACGGCACAGGGAATGCAAGCAATTGAGTTACTTGGTGTCTTTTTCACAAAGATAGTATCTAATGCAAGAAATACACCTTAAGATTACGTCTAAAACTAAGGAGGTATCTGAATCATTCGTTAATAACTACAATACATAGTACAAAAAGCAATAATTTACGCAGGCTCATCACGAGGTTTGAATCCAATAACATGGATTCAAGACGTAGCAAGGAATTGGGGAGTGAACCAGGAATCAGGATACGAAAATTTACACGAGAGCACGGATTCAAAAACGTACAAAAAGATATTCATAGGTCAGTGGCAGGGGTCAGAATGCAATCATTTTTTGTTTAAATATTAAAACTATCTAGTGGGCTAAGAATAAAAACATCCTGCGTTTTTAAATCATACAAGTACTAGAAGAGTTATGACAAAATACGCCAAGGCATTGAAATACTTGGATTTACATGACTAGGAAATGCTGCTGAGTGACCTAACGGGGTGCTTTAAACCTTCAACGTTTGAAGTAACTTCTTTCCATGATCCCATATCAGAAAACCATTGTGAAAAATGTTCTGAGCTCAGTTCATTTAATATTTTTACAAAAAGTAATAGAACTGTTCTTGTGCCACTGACCCACAAAAGATTCCCAACAATTTTAAATGCTTGATGACGATTTCTGCTGGAGGGTTAAAAATCCAGTAAGCTTCTTCTTTTTAATGAAGAAGTGAGATTTTGCAAAGATTACCTATTCACTTACTTTGTTACATTTAATATTGTTACATTTTATATTGTTCAACTTAATTTTACGCCTTTCACAAAGTGCCAATAAAATAACAAAGTCGAATTTTCCATAACTTTTAAAGTTCAGAAAAGTTTAATAGTTCAATGGACGCTTGCAGGGTCCTCGGTAACAAGAACCAATATTGTAATTGGGGAAGCCTGGGCTTTGGTTTATGACGTTGAAGATTTTCAGTTGTATTTTAGTTTTCCAGATAATGACAGATAACTATGGTTACATACATTATTAAGGGATTTTATAAAACCTTGTTATCCATAATCTTTGCAGATTTTTGTAGAGAAATATCAGGTAATAATTCCTGGACAAAAATTGAGCTAAGATTATAAAATAATGTGATCGAAGTTTGTAGTTTTTTTATTTCACCATTGATGCATAGGACTAGTTAAAGATCTTTAAGTAAACTGAAACACTGTTTACAGATAACACTACAGATTAGAATAGTTCTAGTCAAAAAATAAATACGAAATTTAGGATGGTTTACTTACTGTTCAAAAATGATTCATGATAAGGATGAAATACCTCAAAACTCTAAATTATGAAGAAACTTTGAAGAAGCGATTTTTAAAGACTCTCCAATTATGAAGAGTGAACGTATGTACAAACTGAAGAGTTCTTTCAGAGTACTCTTATCTAGATTGCTTTAACGGTCGATAATGGCTACTGAGAGCTGTCAAAACTATCATCTTCATATCGACAGGGAAACTGCAAAAATAAGTGTCTCCGTGGCAGTCTTTTAAAATCTCAGTTCTTTTTTTATTTGCTAAAAAAGGGGATCAAACGGATATCATGACTTGAAATTTTCATAGAATATTCTCCACATAAAGAAAAAAAGTCACCAAAGTTTTCAAGAAAAGACGTAGAGTGGTTTTCCACGTAGAAAGTAACATATAAAAGGAAGTCTGCAACATTCCAAACCGGAAAACGCATTTCGGCAGTTTCACCATTGATTTGTAGGTTTAGTTTTTAGAGTCAATTTGTCGATAGAAATAAAATTTTGAAAGCTACAATCAAGCATCTCAGGGGTAGCAGATTTTAAGTTTCTCATCTTTGATATCAGTACTTACAGAAAAATTCTCTTTTTTGAGGTAAGTTCATGCCTTAGTTGTATTACAGAGTTAGAATCCTTTACTCAGATAGTGAAACGGGATCGACATATTAGGAGGGATTAAATCTACGTGCAGGCGAGAGGCACTTCACAATTCCTTCAAAATTAAAAATGAAGCTAACGATAAAAGACAGAAACTCTACGAGGTAAGCTAGCCCTCAAGTATTATGCACTATTTAACAACATTTTATACAAGTTGAAGTAATTCATCAGGACACGCTGGTCCAAAATTTAAGAGCTACTTGCACTACATCAGTTTTTACGCTGAACGATTTCTAGTAAACATTAAAAAATTAATCAACACGTCGCCTTTAAAAAAAGAAAATACCTCACGGCCTCCGGAAAATGCAATTGAGATACAAAAATAGGCTAAAAGATTAATAAACTAATTTTGAATTGTTTAATTTTTTAGATACATCAACTACAATATCAAAACTTGCACTATGGCTTCAGTTCAACCCTTTACCCTGTCAGGATAAAAAAGGAAAGCTGAGGAATCCTAGTGACCCACACCAAAGAAGTCTATGAAATTAGCCACTAGACAAGGTCTGAACTAGGAAAAACAGCACAAATTTTCTTTTCAAAATCTTACGTAGAGAACGATTCACTCAACGAGATATTAGCAGGTATTTTATACACAGAAGAAACAAGGTTAGATGATACTAATTGCGTCATTTGTATTTTTGCCTTCCCAAGTAGCATTTTTGAACTGAAAAATCGCGATATTTTGAAATTAAGTTGCGATTAATTTACGATTTTTGGGCAGTGAAATTGCTAGGATTATCAACATCTGAGCAATTATCCTCGATTTTACTGTGATTTTATCCCTATAAAATCGAGTTCAAAAAATTAAATTTAAATCTTGATCCATCGCAATATTATCAAACAAAAAAGCATGTCAATTTATCGATACCCGATAAAATAGATTTATATATACTCGATACAATCAAAATTTAATCTTGATCCATCGCAATATTACTGAACAAAAAGTCGGATCAATTTATCGCGTTTTTTGTTTGATAATATTGCGATGGATCGCCGACGATAATATCCAAATTTTCTTGCAAACTTATGCAATGGAATCACAATTTTTTATCCGCTAATATTGCAACAAATTGACATCCATGAAACTGCCATGTATTCTCCGATCAAATCGCAACTTATCGCGATCACTGCTACTTGGTATTGAACCGATGTTAATTTAAAACACATATATCTTGTGTAGGAGTTGATTTCCAGGCCTAATTCATACATTGTCTACAGGCCCATTGTCAGCTTTCCTGGCGATCAATAACTACCTGGAATTAACAGTGAGTTTTACTGTGCTCCAGTATTTACTGCGTTTCCAGAAATTTCAATCAGACTCAGAAAATTTTAAAGACTTTTTTTTAACCAGCGATAGGAACACTAACCACCAGATGGTAAAACTACTAGAGAGACAGAAAAATTACAAGGAACACAATGAAATTATCCAAAACGTGGTGAAATCACACGGAAAACGTTGAATTTTCTAAAAACACAATAAAATGACAACATACTACCAGTGTTATCAATTACTGGGTAAACTGATGATTCATTGACTTGCCTTTCAGTGCAAGCGCAGATAGAGACAGTTGTGCATTGCTCCATAGATTGGAAATTAAAAATTGATTTACGGACAAATTTTTTGTTTACAAAGCTTAAAAATTATCACTTACAAGTGATTTCACTTTCATGGATTGAATAGGAAATTTTAAAGGCTCAATGAGCCTAAAAATGATCAAGATTCATTCACAGTCCAGCGAACGGAATTGTTTTACATCAGTTCTTTTTATGGTTCGTTCTGCTACTAATAGGGCTGAATTCATAGTCCTTTGCTTAACAGCACCTTTCCTGAGGAGAAACCGTAGGGTTTACTTCATGACTAACAGAGGTTCGCACTTACCCTGTTAACAGGGGTTAGTTATTTTCACTCTTCGCGAGGATTTATCTCCAAACTCATACTCATGAATTTCACTTTAAGCTTGAAAAAAATTTTCTCCTTATGATGCTTACTCAAGTATTCCCTTGATCCTCCGTTGGTCAACCCATATGAGTCCCCAAGGAAAGGAGATGTTAAAGGAAAAACTATGTAAACGGTCCTAAACGTCCGATAAAATAAAATAAAAACATTAGGAATGGCTTTTCAGACTTCTAAGTTGACCTATTACATTTAGAGGTTGAGACGTTAGGTACAAAAGCAAATATAATAGGATTAAAACAGTCTCTTCATAAGATAATACAAACAAAAGTAAAAATGGTTCCTTCGAAGCTAAGAACAAGATAATTTTAATACTTTTAAGTAACCGGACTTATTCCTTCATTTGTTTATAACAAATTTGATTTCACTGGACATTCAACTGCCAGGCATAGAATCACAAATTAGTAAAATTACACTATCCTACAATATCTTATACTACACCTATATGTACAACAGTCATAATTACAATATCTTCAAGTATTTTATATACATGTTCATGGACAGTTCAATGAACACAAGACTAGGCTGACAACTTATAAGAAATAATTTTGACAGAAGGGATACATGGTGTCTATCCTTGAATCCTATCGAGAAGGTCGTATTTTTTGATAATTAAGAGTACAGGGTGTCTGCAGACTCATGGGATAAAAATTCCCTGAATCTTTACATCGATCATTTACACGTTTGGAACTGGAAATGAACAAAATGATAGAGACATGAGAACCTTTCTTCCTCAGATTTCAATAATTTAATTAACTAAAAATGGGATGAATGCTTTCAAAGTCTAAAATTGAAAATAATCAATGATACGATTATTCCTTTACAATACTGAAAAAAGACACCCTGTATATTGAAAGAAACGTGAGGAAAGAGAATAAATAATGTCAACCAACATAGAGGCGTAAGCAAAACTAAATTGAGACATGGAATTAAAACAAGCCTGTCAGAAAACAGAACCGTCATTTTGAAAGTTCTACGATGATAATATCGTACCTAATCAACTGGACCAGTAAAAAAAAAGAAGAAAAAAAATTAGTACAAATAAAACATCAGAACACTGCCCAGCGGCAAAAATTAGAATTCAGACAAAAGAAGAGGAAGAAAATAAAAGTTGAAAATCTCTTCTTGAGAGACCAAAATAAAGATAAGGGATTTTCATGAGGAAAATTTGTAAAAAAAAAAAATTAAAAAAAAAAGAATATCGACTTGCATTGAGGGAGATTCAATCAAAAGCTTTTGGCCTGATTCCAGCAGGAGACCAAAGAGATTTGAAAACATTTTGTTCCTATCTAAATTTCAAATCGTATTGCTGCAAATTGTGATGACTAGACAGAATTGAAAAGACGTATCAGTGCTGATGAGAATGTGAGACATACGAGTGAAAAACTAGATGCGGTGATGGCACCAGTGTTGACACGAATGTCACCTTCCTGGTAGAACACGGAATCGATGACATGGATTATTCCATTTGTACACTCAACGTCCGCACGAAAGACATGGATTTTTTCGTTGTTCCATTCAATGAAGAAACCTGAAATAAAAAATGACAAATGCTGAAATTGCTCAGAACAAAACGATGGATGTAAGAGGAAAAAATACCTGAAGATAAAAAAACTCGAGTTTGAAGTATTGGGGTTATTACATTTACAAATAATAGGGTGAAAACACAACAAATTTTTAATGGGCCTGTTGCACGCAAGCGATACACTTTCATGAGAAAATTTGCTCTAAAATCACGTTGGGCATATCGAAAAAGTCTGAAATCTACTGATTAGCGTGCAATCTGTGTAGTTTGTAATACGCTTTTTCAAATTTACAGCGCACGCAGGCAGTTTTTCATGGTGGCTGGCAGTCCGGATTGCCTCGAGAAAGAACAAACCTACAGAAACGAACAATCTCTTGAACTGTTATGAACATTCCTTGCGTAAAATTTCAATTGATTCAAAACTTTTGTTTTTGCAAAATAAAGAAAGAAACAGGGAAAAAACACTTGACATCGTACATTAGAAAAAATTGGTGAGATCGTTTGTTCACTCGGGTTAATTTTTCTCATTCTTCTGCCTGAGCAAGCCTGGTCGGCAGTGACTGCCACGCAGATTACTCGCTAAGGAATGCATTTCAGACTTTTTTGACATGCCCAACTCGATTTTCGTGCGATTTTTCCCTTAGAGAGTATACTTGTTTGGCTGTATCTCTTGCGTGCAACCGAGTCAGTATGGAGAAAAAACAGTGGAGTGGAGCTAAGATGGTTTTGAAGTTAATGATTCATAGAACATGGTTTGGTACAGAAACATATTGAGGAGCTTTCCAGAAACAGGATCCATAGTGGAAAATCACATTTGAGCAAAATGCATCTGAAGTTCCCATTGGTGCTTTCTAGCCAACGACTTACATTAAAGCTTGGACTTCAATTTCCGCTGTAAGTAACCATTAGTGGCCAGGAAGTACTAATACAAAAATCAAATGCATTTTTACCGAACGCTATTTTTTGATATGAGGTCCTTTTTAAGGAAAGCTCTTCTACTGAGTCTCCAGAAAAGACATGAGGTTTTGAATGAAACACAGATTTATGCCTTCTATTTGCATAAAAATTAACTAAACTATTAAAAGCTCGTTCTTTTGGATACTGACTTGTGTTTTTTCTATCCATAATTTGAACAACCGTTGGTCCATCCAACTCAACAATAACTGCTATCCTTGAAAAATTCTGCGCAAGAGCTGGGGCTTTTTTTTTTGGTAAATGATCAATACTCTATTTCTAATTTAATAGAAAATCCAACTCCGATTATGTGAATTGTCGCTTTATTCCAAACCAATTTGACAAGAATAAACCGTAAGAATTTTGGGTGAAATACTCAACTGACAATCACCCAAAAGGGCAAACGTCAAGTGATGGGTAAACTTTCAGTAGTGTTGGCAGGATACTGTGGCTCGATAACAAGCTGATGCAAAGAGCAGTAGCACACTGCATTTGTCAAGTCCCTATAAATTGGTATATGCATATTAACTACTAAGTTTTTTGTTTTGTGTTGGTTATCAATCTTTCAACTATCTGAATTTTTGCTCATCCTAACAGGGCTGGTTCGCGATAAGTTTGGATAATCAAGCCTTTACTGTATTATTGTACACAAGAATTTGCATGATATACATCACAATTAAAGCGCTGGATGCAGAAGGGGCACTTTTCAAATCAAATGTATGCGTATAATATGTTGAAACTTTTACTGACTATTCTTCATGATTTTGCAATGCACTAAACGAAACATTTCAGAAAATTCGCCCAATTGTTTTCTCTCTGAAATAAAAATTAGCGGTAGAGATACTGAAACACCGCAACTGAGAAGTGCGATTTCTGCACCCAACGCCTCAATCATCATGAGAAAAGGCAAGAGATTGAAAAAATTGCTCATGAAGCTATCACTTACTTCGATCACTGCTTTCCGTTACTGAAACGGTGAGCACGTCTCGAGATGTTGGAAGCCTGAGATTGAGGTATCCGGACAGGTGAGACATTTCTTTGAGTTCGTTCATCGTGTACGCTTGATCGGCAATGACAAGGTGCCGCTCCAGAATTTGCTTCACCTGTAAATTTTCATACACGTCCTGTGCATCAATTAGATGATACTTTTGCGACACCCTACATGAGATGGACACTGTCTCAGATGACACTGAAAACCACTTGGTTGAATTATTTTGTAAGCCTCCCAGTCGCACTCATCATTACGCAAATCAGTGAGGGTCAAAATTAAGAAACAAAATTTTGTTTTTTTCGAGTGAGTCTTTGTTCTTGGTGGGAGGTTCCATACACCGAAGTATCAATGTATACTTTATAACTGATGAATGCCTGCGACATGGTGGTAACCAATAGCTACAGATACCAAAAGTGGTGAATTTTGCATGATGTGGGAGTTAAGAAAAAGATGAGGATTGTGAGTGAATGAAAAACTTGATGAAACCACTAGAAAAGCGGTGACACTTATTATGTACTAATGTCTAAACTGCATCTAAAATATATTGAAATAAAGTAAGAATAGTCTCTGGTTAAATAGGATGTTGCATCCCTTAAATCACCAAAGATCTATTTCTCCTTCCGGAGATTTTGCAGTGTAAAGAAACTTATTTTAAGTAGATTTTCAATTATTATTCAATTTTTTTAAGACATAAAAATTGAAGGAAAAAAAAGCTCCATTTTGCTGCGGTTAAAATGCAATTGTGCAATCTCAGAAACAATACAAATTTTGATTTCAGCTGATGAACTCTCAGAATAAGAGGCAATTTGTCAAGAGACACCTCCAATAATTTTTTCTCTTTTTCTTGGAATGTATTTTACCCACCGTGGGAAATCATCCAAGCCAGATCAGGCCTAAAAATTCAGCTCACAGCACCTTTATCACTGGTACAAACCCATCGTGTTTCTTTCTGGCTTAAAACTTTCAGCAACATTTACTCAGTATTTTACCCATCTTGAAAAACTCAAAATGAAAAATTTTCAAAATGCCTTGACTTGGTCAATTTTTGTAGGGTCCTTTTGGGCGGGTACCGCCCGTCAGAACCTTTGCGTCAAAAACTCAATTTTCAACATTTAGGTGAATGGTTTCTTTTTGAAGATTGCACCACTTTTACTTGACATGAAATTTAAACCAAAAATTTTTATACTTTTTTTAAAAAAAAAATTATATAAACCTGCTACTAGGGAAGATACTATTTTTTAGGAAAAAGTGTAGTCACTGAATCATGCAAAGAAAAGTTTGATTTCTTGATGAAAAAGAATTGAACATCATGTTGAGGAACTTACGTTATAACCATAATCTCTCATGAAAAATTTCTTATATGCAGACGGATATTGCACCTCCATCTTCTTCCAAGCATAGTCTCTGGGAACAAAGTAAGTGTATCTCCTGCTCATGTCGTCTAATTGGTCATTGAAGTTCAGATTCTGTCCGAGCCAGTATGTGTCGCTGGAAAAGAGAAAAGAAAAAATACACGAATAGAGTAAAACTCTGCGTATACTCAAAGCGTTTTATCGGTCTCTTGAAAATGAGGCCGCAGGATCTACACTGAAAAAATCAAAACTGTTATGCTTGGAAGCTACCTAAAAGCTGAAAATGGGAGTAGGAATTTCTGGGGATTCCTTCCTTGGAAAGCACGATATAGGGAAACAATTAGGACAGTCAGGAACTTGAACCGGACTTTTCCCGCTTGTTTTACATATGTGCCACATGTATGTGCATGAACACAAAAATTATTTATAGCATTTCTTCACTGAGGTTTCTTGAGAAACTAGACTTGAACTAGGAATTTAAGAGGATACTCCTTGCAAAGTTCTGTGTCTGGTGATAAAAACTTTTCTGCATCGGTATCCATTCTAAACAGACCTCCTTCCTCAAAGTTTTTTTCCAAAAGAAATCTTTGGGAGAATGCTTGGATTTCTCTTTTTCCTTCCATTACCAGTCATATAAAATAGTTACAAAATTTTCTAGAGAAGCGACTCCAAAGGCTTACTTGGAATTTTCAAGATGCCTAGAAAAAATCAGTTTTTTAATTTCCTGATTTACTGACTTCCCAGAAATGTGGGGATTTTTCCGGCACTCTTGAGTTATTTTTAGATATTAAAGATTAGTTTGAGATCATTCGAAAAGAAATAGTTTTGAATGTTAGGGATTCTACAGTTCGTTTTTAATAAAAACTTAATTTTGAAAAAAAACCAGAGTTGGCACCATTTACAAATAGAAAGTTTGATTGAATGGTTTGCCTCAATAACTGCCAAGCTCTTTCGGAACGTTTCAGTTTACGTCTTTACATTTTGAATTTGTAAATAATATCAGTCAATACACTTGTTAGAGACGGTCCAATATTGTGGAGAGAGCATCTGTTAATGCGTTTGTTAGTTTTGACCATTCGGTTTTACTAAAGAGAATATAGAAGACAGAACTGAGATGCTCACAAGAAAGTGGACTATTTTTGAAGAAAGCCAGAAAACCAGCCAGAGTTAACATAACAGTTTACAGAGTTCATCATTTGAAGGGTTTTCTGCATGGTTTTTGATTGAAGACTTGTCTCTATTCATAAATCCTGAAATCGATTTACAAGCTTCCATAAACTTTCACAGCTGGACAAACTTACTTCAACATAGGGTCCGTTGCTATTTTTCTGCCGACTGTCATGAACGGGACACCTAGCACCCTGTCAATGATGTGAATAATTCCATTGGTCGCAGCGATATCTGGTTGAACAACAGTCGCATTTACTCCTGCTCCTTCAACAGTTACTGTCTTGTTGTCGCCGTGCTGAAGGACATTGAAGTACAAGCTCTTCCGGTTCGCCATTGTATTGACTTGCTGCTTCAAAAAAAAACAAAACTCAAGTAACAAAAGGATCGTTCCATTGACGGACTGCTATGCAAAGGGAGCTTTCCTTCTATTTTCTCCCTTTAACTCCCTCATTTTATCTGCACTGTGAGGAGCTGTCCATAAGTTACCTAACGCTGCATTTGTCATTTCATTACACCGATCACTCTACATGAAATTCCATAAGGCTGTCCTGGACTTCCTTAAAAAATACTTATCCCTGCCCCGTGTCATTTCCCCTCCCCACAAAATTACCAAAATTTTTAAAAATCATGTTATACTTACCAAACAGTTGGCAAGGACATTTCATGAGAAAAAGTAGAGTATTGCAGTCAGTAAAATAAAAACAGTAAAATTTATCTGCTGGGAATTTTTATTTAAGCATCATTTCGTCAAAACTGCTAGGCACAATAGCTCCTCACAAAAATTGCAGATTGTGCCCTAATTCATAGATTCCAAACTTTTCTTATGAGTCCATTGTGATATTCATGTGAATTTACCGAAGGGAATTCCAGTCATTTGCCTACATCTCCTGCATGCAACAGACTCATTTCTTGATTTTAAATATCCTGACTTTTTACCTTTTCCCTGACTCCAAAATTTCTGGATTCTTTGACTTTCGATCAAAACCTGCACTTAGATTTTTTCGTTTGATTACCCTGACTTTTGCCAAATATTGGATGAAACTTCTACTACTGAAGATTCTTATGATGGCCGAAGTTTCAAAGCCAAAAAAAAATCCAAAATATTCAAAAAAAATTATTTGATTTACATCTAATACAGGATTGCCGCAGAATATATATAATTAATTTCCCTGAAACCCTGACACATTTTGGTAAAATTACCTGACAATTGAAGATATGTCAGAAGTTTAAGAAGTCATAATTTGACATAGTCTTTAGGCAAAACGTCAAACCCGTTCTAGAAAGCACATGAAGCCTCCACAAATTTTTCCTGACACCTTCGCCATTTTCCTCGACGTTTTCAGATTTTCCCTGTATTTCCCTACTGTGACAACCCTGCTAATAACTACAACTTATGATAAAAATTACGTATCAACTCTAAATAAACAATCCAAAAGACAGCCGAAAGTGGCAGATATGAATTAAATCATCAAGGCATTAGAAATGTTTGCATAATGGTTGATGAAAATGTGAAAAGATAAGCTTTCGATGGATGAAATTAATCTTTCTTCTTGTAACAGTGACAATGATAGCTAAGCTGTACCAAGCAATATGCGAAGAAAAGTAGAGTATTCAGCTTACAGTGGGCAAGGTTCAGAAGATGAAATTCAACTTGTAACCAACTCATAGACAGTTTAACTATTCCTTACTTTTTAAGTTATCTACTGATGGGATTTAATGATTTATACATATTAATATACTTGCAGACTAAACTAGGATTTTATATTAAAGCATGATTACTTCAATTGAATCGTACAGCTATAATGATAAGCATAATAGTTAAATGGACGTATTTATGCTGCTGCGAACTATGCTGCAAACAAACTCTATGAACAAAGTTCTATCAGCATAAATACGTCCAAATAGATACTGCCAAATTATAGAGTTTTAAGCAGAATTTTCAAAAAATTCTTTCCACTGAGATAAAAAGGTGCAACCCAACTTAGGAAAAATGTGAGCCTCCTACTTTAATGGAATCCAAAGTACTTTCCCGCAAGTAGGAAAAACCTATACCTGATTAGCCATGTCTTGAATTCGTTCGACTGACAAACGGGACGGGACCAAGTGCAGATACAGAATTTCTTGGAGCTTTGTCTTGTTCCGTAAGATGTTGTTGACAGCAGGGTCTCTCCAGGCATTGTTTGAGGGGGCCAGGAGTGTCAACTCCTTCATTCGAGTCAAATGGTCCATGAACTCTGGTTGGGCATCGTAAATGGCACTATAAAATCTGAACAACGGTCCATCTTCTTGGTTCTGTAAGAGTAGAAGAGAATAAGTTAGCTAAAAGCAGGAAAAATTAAAAATTAAATCCAAAAAAACCTTCAGCTTGGTGCGTGGCAAAGCGACTAAAAAATACCTCAAAACAGATCTGAGATCACTGGTCCAGTTAGGCGATCAATGGGTTTTAGAGTCCACACAAGGTCCTATTGAAAATCAAGTTTACTATGGTATGCCCTAGTTCCTAATTTTAACTTAAGTCATCTTAAAATATGCTCGAGGAGCCCTCTTTGAAAATTTCTCTCATTCTTTTAAGTTACTCAGTGGATTGAAAAGATAATTATTTGCAAGATTAAAGGTCTGATAATTGGTTGCGGCTAATTTGAGGACCAATTTATGACCAAACAATACTTGTTGTTGCGGAAATCTGGGGACATTCAAGTACTACACTGCTGTGCTAAGGAAGAACGCTGTATGAACCTTCAGAAATTGCCATATCTTCTTCAATAAATAAAGAATTTTCTCAGAAAATTGTTAACATTTTTCTGTGAATCCTTCAGACACTTTCGCCCGCAATTTAACCGAAAATATTTGAAAATTTCAGGGAAATATAAGGATAACTTTCCTAAAAAATACATGTTTTATCTGGAGAAATTTGGCTACTCTCGAATGTTCATGCGGCATTTTCCCTTAGCACAGCAGTACAATCATCAGAAAGCCTCGGAACTTGTAAAATGCCATCAAAACTGGTACACATTCCATTAAACGGTGCTTTTAAAAAATTCTGCCCTGCTGTGATTGGGCTACCGGATCTAGGCAGGATCTTCCATCACCCTCGGTCCAGGATATACTCAAAAGTTTTGAGGGGCGAAACAAAGGACAGTGAAAAGTTATTTACAGACAAAGTAAAATAAGATTGTAATAGTATTAAAATAGGACACAATTTTCACTAGACAAGAGGAAAAATTAGAGACGCAAAAAGGCTAAGAGAAGAATGAGAAGATACTTACAATGCCCTGCACCCATGCAGCAAGACACACACAAAGCAACAATAACATTTAGAATACAAGGGCAGAAATAGACAAAATAGCAAAATTTAAAATTTTCTCTTCGATAAATACCATTAGGGAGCTACACAAATCCATCCCAGATCTAAATTCACGATTAAATTTAACCTGTAATTATTCGAGAAGGACGTTGATTGACTTGATCAGCGGGTTGATTATTGAAATTTATAGACAAAGCTATAGAAAAAGAAGAAGAAAGGGATATGGAGGGATCCTATTGGTGAAAAGGGGGGGTTGCAATGGATAAAGAAGATAGGTAATAGACAAACTGTCGGCAACCCAAAAGGGACCCTATATTTAGTTCATCATTTTCTTCCTTAGTCTATAGGACCTACTCATTTCAACCAATAAGATCGCTCCACACTCCCTATATCTTCTTTGTCTATCGCTTTGTCTGACAATTTCAACAATCAGCCCGCAATTGATTGATCTGAATGTTATCTCAGAACAATATTTCATGAAAAGTGAACAATTTACTGATGTGAGCTTTTGTGACGATGCAGGCGTACAGAAAATCAGCGACGGTTTAAGTGCTAGCATTCAATACTACTGATCATGTGGACGAAAAAAACGAAGACAACAAATTGTGTAGACTTTTGCACCAGTCAAAAATGCTTTTTTCTTTCAAAAATCTCTCCTAATTTTCTTCAATAATGATGAATTCTGAATTGGCAAACTTTGCTCTCCACTAAAGGAATGTGTTCACAAGATTTTTCTTCAAAATCTGAGAAAATATTCAGATGGCTGAGTTTCTACGCCAAATCGGAAATACTAGAGACGGAGCAATCAATTCCTTAAAAAACCACCACTTTACTTGAATTTTTGTTTAACGTTCTGGATAGAAAAATTGTAATCAAGCTCTTGGAAAACCTCTGAGCTAGGGTATAGTTTAGTTTGTTTCTATTATTGATCCAGCAAAAATAGAAGGTATCGTAGATAAACAGACATTTTTGAATATCATAAAAAAGTAGTCATTTTGAGTAGGACTTCAATGAGAAAATACCTAATGAAAAAATTGATGTTTTTGTCTCATTTTATTCCATTCATTTTTAATATTAAAGTCCATTCCAACGATAAGAGCATGTGCTTTTACAAATTAATATTTTTTTTTCAAAACCACAAAAAAGTCACTGGAATCCTACTCTTCCAATAAATTTAATGTTTTCTTATTAAAACCAAGTCTATATTTTCCATATTGTTTAGTAAGAAATACAGACGGTAAAAAGCATAAAAATAGGCATTGATATAATCTATTTAATTTCTCGACGAATGAGCTAAAGAAAAATAACATAGTTGCGTTGGTGTCCAGTCCACAAGATATTCATTCTCCAGTGACCACACTCAGATACCGAACACAGGGGACAAACTAGAACTAAGATCTTTTGAATCTAATACAACTGGTTAAAATATTGAGCACACTTCAAATACTACTAAAGTTAATTCATCCACACAAGATTGACAAACAAAACACTTCGACAAAGTACGTTTTTAGTTAGATTTTATGAATGTAATTTTAAGCTTATCTTTAGCCATATGAAAAAATGAGCTGCATATGAACTCACCTCAAAAGACTGAAGATTTTAATAGTAATTGCAGATGGGCAGCAAAACGATGGAAATGAAAAAGAGCACACAAGAAATATTAAATTAGTTCAATTAAAAAACAAAACGTTTTTATCCAAAGTTTCTAAAACTTATTTTTAGAGGGACTTATATTATTAATGTTTCATTTTTCTACTCAATCTATCGTATTTTATGCGTAAAAAGCATCAAAACAAACTCAAAAAGGTAACCTCTGGGGTACACAAATTTTTTGTCATCCAACTGGCTGACCGCAACAAAGTTCCTCTATGGCATATCGTTACAAATTCATAACAACATATTTTTGGGGTTTTTAAAAATTGAATCTTTCCTCTGTGGCATGATTTTGCAAATTTTCATCAGTTTGTTCTTTTTATGAAGAAACGATTCCCTAAAATTTAAAATTTTAAAAACAAGTTTGGTACTACTTGTTTTTTATGCAAGCTACAAAAAAGATTGGAGTCCTCCAGAATCTAAGATCTAAAATTAATTCATGCTATAGATGGTGAAGTTAACGGAAAAAATCATTGATTAAACTGGAAAACTGAATTATATTCAAAGAGGATTTCTTTCAAAATTTGGAAACATCATCATATCGGTCTTCTTGTTTATTTGTGACCGTTCATAGAAAAAGAGACCTTCTTCAACAAAGGTAAAAGAAACAACTTAATATTAATAAATTGAACAGCTCTCACCTTCAAAAATTGGTGCACAGTGTTGTCGACGACCATTAAAGGTCGGCTGATGAGATGAACAACTCCATTTTTCACAGGAATGTTTGCTTTTACGATTTCCGCAAGGACAACACCAGTTTGATGGGTGGAGTCTCCAACGACTGTATCACTTTTCACATAGACTAGAAGTAAAAATTGGAGGGAAATCATGAAACACATTTCTACATGAGTATTGCAATCAAGTAGTTCATTACTGAATACATAGGAGATGAAGTTTGAATTGCCACTTTGTTGTGGTAGATGCAAGCACCTAAAGACAGAACTGTGGGCGAAACCTAATGGAAATACTTACTCATTGGCAGCAAGGAATATACAACGAAGCAATATTTTAAATACCTAGCAAACTAAATGTAAGTATGCTGAAAGTCTTAGAAAATGCGATTGTGTTTGCACCTGCTATGTGCAATGAGGATTTTGCCTCATTTTGAGTTTTTAGATTAGGCAAGACCTACACAAGATGAATTTCAATTCTTAGACCACTTGTTAAAGATTTTTATCAGCTTGCTTATGTATAGCCGAGATTTTTCATTTTTTCTTCATTTTCAAATTCTCTGACCCTTTTTTGCTTTCCCTGAATTACGAACAAAATTTCCACTTTTGTTATTGGTCTTTTGATTGAGCTGACTTTCACTAAACTTCGGACCAAGTTTTCACTTCTTAGCATTCAAAATACGGATGACAGCAATTGTTTGCGCTTCCTGAAACCACCAACTGAAATTGCCCAGTCAACATATCAATTGCAAAATTCCTTGACTCATCATCCAAATGCTCAGACTTTTCCCAATTGCTGAGAGTCCCTGACTTTTCTGGTTTTCCACATCGCCAGAAACCCAACAATCTTACATGTAACACTAAATATTACTTTAATTAAATTTCTAGTCAATGAGTGGCTATAATGACATAGTAATCTCTTTTTTTCACACTTTCGTGAACTTTTTTAAGGTCTCCTCACCCCCATTCCCAACAATCTCATAGTCATGTGAAAATGGAGTATCGAAAAATACGAAGGAGAGAGTAATTCTTCTTACCTCGCACATCTTTGCCCTCCACTTCTTTTTTGAAGGAAATCATAACTTTCAGCATATCAGTGAAAGCCATGGACTGGTATTTAACATCGTCTGGTGTTGGGTTCGTGAAAAGGACATGGTTTGCAATGATATGTCCGTCGATAACCTTTTGATCAATCTTCCCAGGTCTTACTTGACTCTGCAAGAGGAGCATAAAAACATATTATCACCGTTTACAAAGAGAAATATGTTCAAATAAGGACCTAAAATGGTGTACACGGAAAAAAAAATTGCTGATTCAACAATTCAATTGCTAAAAACAGTGAGTGCAATGTTTCAACGCAGATTTTACAACAAAAAAAATGCTACTTTAACCACCCCCATGGTTAAATTAGTTCACAATGTGGTTAAAGTAGCATTTTTTTGTTGTAAAATCTGCATTGAAACATTGCACTCACTGTTTATAGCAATTGAATTGTTGAATCAGCAATTTTTGTTTTTTCCGTGTATGAATAACTTTCAAGTGATGGATTTGGCACATTTGCAATCCATTAAAAACAAAATTACGATGAAGTGGGAACATTTTTTAAAAAATTGCTTTCCCAAAGAAATTGTGCAAAATTTTCATTGCTTGCTAAACTTTTTGCAAAGTTACATTATGAGCAGTTAAGATGTTTAAACAAATTACTGTGAAAAAGTTATCAGAAGACTTTATTTTACTCAGGGCACATTCAATATGAGATGAAATGAACTACATTTCGCAATTAGAAACTAAAATCTCTACCTAATCCATAGAAGCAACTATCTGCATAAGGCAATCAATGGCAACTTTCCGTTTTCTAGAATAAACCAAAAATAGTAGTTCTTTATTGCAAAATAAAGTCCAAATGAAGAAAGTGTACAGTAAACTAGAGCTTACTATAAAAAACTTCTAATTTACAATGTGAGGCTTAAACTTCATTGAAAAGTATCTGTTCGGATGAGAATTTCTGATTTTGAGATCAGTCAGTGATATCGAAACTCAGAGGCACTAAAACTTATTAAGGGATTTGGAATACTAACCATGAACTTGTCATCAACCGGAATGAAAAATGTGTGCCTGCCAGCATTTTTGTATAGATCAGTCTTGTCGTTGTAGAAAACTTGATTTCGGAAAGCTCTGCAAAAGAATAGAGAGAAAACGGACTTCTGGATTAAAGCAGGCTGGTAAGATTATTTACTAAACACTGAAAGGAGAAAAGTAGCCAAGGATATGATCACCATGCTCCAACTCATCATCAACACCATAAAATTTTGGATAAAAGTGGTTGCTTGAAAAATTATACAAATACATTTTCTGTGACATTCACCTTTTTCCCTTGAAAAATTGCCATTTGCTACGAATCTTAAGACCTCCGCTACTACTCGGTTTTTTTCATGGTTTAATATTTTCAGCACGTCTCAGTGAAAAAATTTTGGAGAAAAAACCAGAAAAAGGAAAGGAAAATGGTACAAAATTTGATGCAGTATTGATAATGATAATCTGTCATCCTGCCTACCAAGGAGTAAAATATTATAGAAAATCTGCTAAATTGGGTGGCTCCGTAGATTCAAAATCCTAAGTACTATGTAACAAACTCATCTGGGAGGTATGTGTATCATTATTTTTTACATCCATATTTTGTTTAAATTTCATCAGGAGTGATAATTTTTTCAGTTATTAATGATTGATTTTCTTGTAATTTTTCGTCATTATTTTCCTGATGAATACTCAGCTAATTCTAAAAACTTTTACTTGAAAAACGCCAATCTTCAGGATTAATTGCACTACAACATTCATTTTGTTGACTTAAAAATTACTTTTTTGGTCACTGATATCTGCTTATAAGAACTAAATGCCTGCTGAGCACTGCAGTAGGTGCTACACAATATATTATTTACAGAAAACGATTTCAACAGAGAAACTCAGATTCCTAATCCTTTGTTTTCTTCTTTTTCGTTACAAACTTGTGCCAATTCGAAAACTGCAGCCCGATTATTGAAACCCTGCCAGAACGACGAGACAAGATATAGCTCTATCTTAATCATGCAATATATCGCAGTCCGATATCTTATCAGGCTGCTTTGTACTTTCAATAATTGGCCCGCTGGACAGAAATCTTTAGAAACTGACTCACCTAACGGTAAAATCTAAATTATTTATACTTTCGGTGTAATTTAAAAATTGGAAGGCATCAGGATTGTAGAACCCAGCATCCGACTGAGTGATGATTGGCTCAAGAACTTCTTCAATTATGTGCAAAACCTGTGAAACAAAAACAAGCAAAAGATGGTTACATGTAACAGGGGTAAAAATAACAACACGTGTTAAACTATAAATTATGGGTAGGTCATAATGAATCAGAGTAGCACCATATACCTACTGTCACATTATGAAATTGTAGTGTGCACACTTTGAAGAAATTCATGAGATACATTTGTGTCCCTTTATGATTACTCAATTATGATGCAACAATTGATGCCTACAAACATTAAACTTGAACATTCTCTGTCTATATTTCACCTACTTTATTGAAGTTTTTCACAACATTGGTTAAAAAATACCATATTTTAATTTTTCTCTCTTCTCTCCTCATTATTTCCTCATTTTAAAAATGATGCATCTCACATGCACACAAAAAGTGAGCTCTATGAATGCATGTACCCAACTCTTTAAAAAAAATTTTTAAATTCTAACGATCTATGTCGAATTTTAATTATCTCTTTCACTTCATTTTCAATTTCAGCTCCTTTCAGCTAAATGCAGTCCTACAGAAAGGTTACAGAGGCAACCTAGCTTTATTGATCCTGCCGCCTGAAACTCAAAGCTTACCTGCTTCTTGCCATTGGCATTAGCTTGCTGGTAGTTGGAGCGGTGCGCGATGACTTTGGCATTGTTTACGTAAATGTCTTGTCTGTTGTTGTAGTTGCGTCGAGTGACCCACAGGGGTGGACTGCCGCCAAGCTCTGTGGAGATGGAACCACCAAGTTGGTTCAAATTCTGTGGCACATTACAAAGATGGTACAGTGCTAGGTCATCAAAATTTGAGCTTTTGTACTGGAATGCCTTATTTGTAGGTGCGAAGATTGTCAGAGCACTGTACTCCAATGATGCCATTGCCTGCCGACTCCGTTCCAACACTGAGTAGAACTGAAACATAAAAAGGGCAAAAATTATTTTCTATCTCCTGTTTACAATGTGTCACTTTCTTTGGGAAAATTGAGGCTGAATCAGTGCCTGACGGATTCCAGTGAAGGAACTTTAAGAAATTAGAATAGAGATTTGGAAGAAAAAAGAGAAAAAATGGAGTTATTCTTATGGTCGCATGACTTTTGATGATTTCAGTGATATAAGTAAGTAGACCACTTATCATACTTGCAGAGTGTATGATTTGATTCATACAAGCCTTTTTCCATGTAAACATGACAGAATAATGTTAAAAAATTATTTTTTGCGGAGGATGATGAAAAAAAAAAAAACTGCCATCTCATCAACAAGTGCATAAGATGAGTGTGGCGTTCGTCACATTGCATCAAACGATGTGAGTCACAGAAATTCGGTTCATTTAATGTTTTCGGGATTCGACCCTAAGAAAAAATAAATACAGAAGTTAAAATTGCCTCCGTATGCATGATGTCAAAAGCGACAATCGTTTAATACTCAGGGAAGGAAACACGAAGTACCTGTTAGTGTTACACTTTACACAACTTTGATACATCGCCAGTCTCTTAAAACACTTAATATAGAATCCTTGATGTTTATCCATTGGCAGTTTCTTATTCCAACTAAAAAATTGATGATTTGGCTGAAAACAAGTCAAGTCTACCTGCTAATAGGGACAGAACACCTGTAGCAGCAGCAGTGTAGCGGCATGACCTAACCTAACTTAAATCAAATGTTTGTAAACAAACTTGAAAACTGAGAAGAAATTGCATAGCCTTTCAAATGAAGGCGATTTATAAGGCGTACTCGGCCTGACGGACTTATACGCACTTACGTACGGGTGGACGAAACTGACTCATTTTCTTTCGAATACGGCTCAAAATTTTTCGCTTGAGGATTTTATTACCAAGGTGAGAAAAAGCTCCGATGAGTGATCAGCTTTATTTTACTGGCAAAACATTTTCGAGTGATTCATCTTACCCTTAATTTCTTCTTTCGTAATTATTGCCTTTAATAATTTTTTCCACGTCCGCAGGCAAAGGATTTTATCTGCTGGGGGGAAAAACTGAGTTGTACCGGAACTTTTTCTACCTCAGGCGTTACGCTACGTACTTCTTTAAGGAAGGGGACGTGCTCTCTTGCATTACGGGTGCGTTCTGGAGGGGAGGGGGTGTCAAAAAATTCGGTATTCAGCTTTGAGTATTTTATGAAAGACCTCTAAAGGCAAGCCCAAGGCGTGCATTCGCATGTGCATGTACAAGTACATGCGTTGGTACTTTCAGATAGGAGAAAAGTCACGATTTTCCTTCACTTTCGCTACATACCACATCATATACCTACTCTGGAGTTTGAAGAGTTGCGCGCTGGATTTTCGGTTTTAACTATTCGAGCCTACCTACGGTGCGTTAGTAAATTGAGTTAGGTGAAATGCTAAGAATTTTTTTCACTTTCGCGTGATACCATGTTACGTACCTCCTCTAGGGTACAAATAGTGGCGCGCTTAATCTTCGCCTTTGACGATGCGAGCGTAAGACCTACATTCATAAGCATCAGTCGTTTGATGGAGCCACAAACCTAAGATTTTCCTTCACTTTCGCAGGATACCACGTCACATACCTCCTCCGAGGTCCAAATAATTGCCCGCTTGATTTCCGCATTCAACGATGCAAGCGTAAGGCCTACATTTATACTGCCGTGCTAGGGAAAAATGCCGTACGAACATTCGAGAGTTGTCAAATTTCCTTCGATAAAATGTTCATTTTTGAAGAAAGCTATGGATATTTTTCCTTGGAATTTTCAGGAAATTTAAGTGAAATTCGAACATAATTATCTGAAAAATTGGAGAAAAAACGTTCACAAATTTTCCCGAAAATTCGTGAATAATTAAAGGAAATTTGGCAACGCCTGGAGGCTCATACGGCGTTCTTCCTTAGCACGGCAGTGCTGCTCTCTTCGCTATGACGGCAGATTTGACAACGCGTTGAGAACGCAATGGCGCGGCGTTACTCCTCATCACGGTGTCAGTGCGCGAGCGTGATGCTCTGTTGACGTACGCATGTAATTACGCTGACATTTGTTATTTACTGGGGTGACTCACCCTTACTCCCCTACCCTTCCATGGGAGTATTTTTGTCGATACACCTTCGGTTACCCCCCGCCTTATAGAGAGCCTCCCCCAATGTACATCATCAGGTGAGAATGAAAATAATTCAGCCAACAGTCGCGTGGCGTGAATTGCGATGTATCGATTGTTATGCCATTCAAACCTATGGTAAAGAATCGATTACTAAGGTGTTCGCTGCAAACACCCTGTTTATCGATCCTTTTCCACAGGTTAAATGGCATAACAATCGATACATCGCAAAGCACGCCACGCCACTGTTATGGTGAGGGTATCGTCGTTTCCCAGACGATGGAATGTAACTCCATTCCGACATTGCCAAATTGGTTCTGATGATTCCATTTTTTTTTTTAAATATATATGTATAATTCTTTTATTGTGACATTTTTTTAATACAACGAGATTACAAGAGAGATATGAAAAATAATGAGCAAAGAGTAAAGGATGAACGAGAAACATTTTCGAGACAAGAAAACGACGTTTCTGGAGTAGAAACGGTTTACAAAAAAAATTAAAGAATGTGTAAGTAATACAAAACAAAAAGAGAATAGCGGGTTCAGGTGGCCTTAAAGCCAAGGTCACGCCGGAACTACCCTGTGGTATACTAGCGGCAGAATCCCAATTTTTACAAGAATATAACCGTCGACTACTTTTTCACGTATTTAATGTGCGCATCGTGTTCTATGCGTCATTTACTTTTGAAAGAATGTAATCGCAAGAGCTGCTAAATTTCCTCCGATAAAACGTTGATTATTAAGGCATGTTATACATATTTTTCCTTGAAATTTTCAGGAACATCAGCAGAGACTGTGGGGAAAATCATCTGAAAAAATATTCATAAGTTTACCAGAAAATTCGTATTTCATCGAAGGAAATTTGGCAACGCCTATCATCCGGCGTTTTTCTTTAATATGGCAGTATCGTCCTCCTGAATTCCGGAGTCACCATTTGCTGAACACCTCAGTTCCCGCACGGAATCTGAAAACAGATCCTCTGAAAAAAAGAGAAGTATGGAAATCCTTTTTTCCAACGGGTGTTGATCTGTTATCGTTTGAACCGTAAGCCCTGAGCGAAGTCGAGCCACGGGCAGTGGCGTGGCATGCTTTGCGATATATCGATTGTTATGCCATTTAAACCTATGGAAAAGGATCGATGAACAGGGTGTTCGCAGCGAACACCTTAATAATCGATTCTTTACCATAGATTTAAATGGCATAACAATCGATACATCGCAATTCACGCCACGCCACTGGCCACGGGTAATTAGAACGAAAAGAAGCCGTATTCGCTCGCAGCTTTTCGCCGTAAGTCGATTACGGTGGATGCCCCCGCGTCCCGCGGAAAGTCATCCTCTCCGCACGATGGAAAGTAAAAGTCTCCACGAAACAAATTGAATTTTTCTAACCTTTCCTCCCTGGAGCTACTCCTATTCTGCCGTGCTAGGGAAAAACGCCTTACGAGCCTTCAGACGTTGCCATATTCCCTTCGAGAAAAACCGAATTTACTGAGATAATGGAGATGTTGCATGCGTGAGGAATTCGCCATTTGACTGTTGATTCTTATGCACGTTGATAACGGCGCAGAGATACAACTATTCGTGCTTGATGGGTGTCCGTATTGCATCTGCAAAATTGAAGGCGCAGTGGTGCGAGGCGTGAACTCGCAATGCGAGTTTACGTAATTTTTTCGCTCGAATTTTTTGACGAGTCTGCAAGGCCAGAAATTAAATTATTCTTGCAGGTCCTCTAAGTGAGGAGTAATAAAGCTTGTCAATGGAGATGTTGCATGTGTGAGGAATTTGCAATTTGACTATTGATTCTTATGTAAAGGTCCGCGAGAAACACGACGGTGTCACTAGTTTTCCCTGAAATCAACTCCCAAGCTCAAAAAAGGCGCTCAAAATGAGGCCAAAATGGAGGGGATATCCCACGCTATCCACCTCGAGTCCACCTCTACATCAAGACAAACTCTTTATGGGGACTTTAAAACTGAAAACACGGCAACCCTGCTATCGTATGTGTTCCCTATCTTTGCATGGAGAGTGTGTCTTGATGTAGAGGTGGACTCTCAGGATAGCGTGGGATATCCCTTCCATTTTGGCCTCAACTTGAGAGCTTTTTCAGAGCTTGGGAGTTGGTTTCAGAGAAAACCAGTGGGACCATCGTGTTTCTCGCCAACTTTTACATAAGAATCAATATCAATATAGTCAAATCGTAAATTCCTCACATATGCAACATTTCCATAGTGAATATTTTTCCTCAAAATTTTCAGTCAGTTTTGTTCACGATTTAATCTAATATATCTGAAAATTTCGAGGCAAAATATACATAACTCTCCTCAAAAATGCACGTTTCATTCGAGGAAATTCGGCGACTCTCGAATGTTTATACGGCGATTTTCCTTTGCACGGCAACAATGGGCACTGTTATTTGATTACGTAACGCATTTCAGGAGGGATAAGGGTTAAATCTGCGTTACGAATGCGTGATNGGGGGGGGGGGGGGATCGCATTCGAGTGTAGTTTCGATATCAGTATCGAATGCGATATTTTTCCTCTAAAAAACCCTGGCTTTAATACGTTGAATTGCTTTGGCAAATTTGGTGCATGGATTCTTTAGTCTCGTGACAACAGAAGTGTATGATCTCAAAATTCGAAAAAAATTACAAGTGGCTGAAATTATGGAACAAATTGAGGCGATATATCGCACGTCGCTCTGACGCAAAAAATGGCAACCGTCGAATCACCTTCAAGTGTCAAAAGTAGCTTTCAGGTACTCATCGACGAAAACTGAAAATTTAAGGAATCGAGCGGGGGGTTTAAAGCAATGTTGAAGAGAGCTAGGGGTGACCCTGTAACGACGAGTTT